TTATGTCAGGTGTTGCTGTGGGATCACCATGGCGATGTGGTGGGTTTTGTACAGAGCATTCTATAAGTGAAACACTGCATTCCATATCTTGTGTTCAATCTCTACCTGATGTGGTAGATGCCCACATTGTTGTCATGGTAACACTCTACCTGAAATGGTAGAGAGAAGTCAATTCTGTTACATGTGAAAAGATCTGAATAAACATTATATTTGACCACTTTGTGTTGTATCATCTCACTTGTCTGTACACAGGGACTTAACGCATGCCCTTCATCTGTCAGACATTATTTCTCTCCCATATGGTACTGGGTGCCTTTTTCTTTATTGCACCAAATACCCATTGCCTCATCCTTCCAGGTATCCATTTCTTCATCCTACCAGGTACTTATTTCCTCATCCCACCAGGTATCCATTTCCTCATCCTACCAGGTACTTATTTCCTCATCCAACCAGGTACCCATTTCCTCATCCAACCAGGTATCCATTTCCTCATCCAACCAGGTACCCATTTCCTCATCCAACCAGGTACCCATTTCCTCATCCAACCAGGTATCCATTTCCTCATCCTACCAGGTACTTATTTCCTCATCCAACCAGGTACCCATTTCCTCATCCAACCAGGTACCCATTTCCTCATCCAACCAGGTTCCCATTTCCTCATCCAACCAGGTTCCCATTTCCTCATCCTACCGGGTACCCATTGCCTCATCCTACCAGGTACCCATTTCCTAATCCTACAAAATACCCATTTTCTCATCCTACCAGATACCCATTTCCTTATTCTACTGGGTACCCATTTCCTCATCCTACCAGGTACCCATTTCCTCATCCTACCAGGTACCCATTTCCTCATCCAACCAGGTACCCATTTCCTCATCCAACCAGGTACCCATTTCCTCATCCTACCAGGTACTTATTTCCTCATCCCACCAGGTACCCATTTCCTCATCCTTCCAGGTATCCATTTCCTCATCCAACCAGGTACCCATTTCCTCATCCTACCAGGTACCCATTTCCTCATCCTACCAGGTACTTATTTCCTCATCCCACCAGGTACCCATTTCCTAATCCTACAAAATACCCATTTTCTCATCCTACCAGATACCCATTTCCTTATTCTACTGGGTACCCATTTCCTCATCCTACCAGGTACCCATTTCCTCATCCTACCAGGTACCCATTTCCTTATTCTACCAGATACCCATTTCCTCATCCTACCAGGTACCCATTTCTCATCCAACCAGGTACCCATTTCCTCATCCTACCAGGTACTTATTTCCTCATCCAACCAGGTATCCATTTCCTCATCCAACCCGGTACCCATTTCCTCATCCTACCAGGTACCCATTTCCTCATCCAACCAGGTTCCCATTTCCTCATCCAACCAGGTACCCATTTCCTCATCCTACCAGGTACTTATTTCCTCATCCCACCAGGTACCCATTTCCTCATCCAACCAGGTATCCATTTCCTCATCCTTCCAGGTACCCATTTCCTCATCCTTCCAGGTATCCATTTCCTCATCCAACCAGGTACCCATTTCCTTATTCTACCAGGTACCCATTTCCTTATTCTACCAGGTACCCATTTCCTCATCCAACCAGGTATCCATTTCCTCATCCTTCCAGGTACCCATTTCCTCATCCTTCCAGGTACCCATTTCCTCATCCTACCAGGTACCCATTTCCTCATCCTTCCAGGTATCCATTTCCTCATCCTACCAGGTACCCATTTCCTCATCAGAGGTGACTAACGGGATCGGGTGGTCAGGCTCGCTGACTTGGTTGATGCATGTCATCGTATCCCAATTGCGTGGATCGATGCTCATGTCAATCACTGGATTGTCTGGTCCAGACTCGATTATTTACAGACCGCAGTCACGTAGCTGGATCAGTTCTGCAACACACCAGACAGTCCTAGTTAACACAGGGTCCCCAAAAGACTGTACACATGCACCAAAAGGCAACTCCCTCAGCTCACAGGAATAGTAGTAAATACAAATATTGAGGCCTCGTAGGATACGTGGGTCAAATTTTTTTTTTTTTTTTTTTTTTCAAAGCTACGTATGCCTGTGGTCTACTGTACCTACATCACATGTGCATCTGTCTGGCCTCGGTGGAATAAGTGCAATAACGTTGAACGCGGCGCAAACCCATTTCACCTCACTTGTCACGGGGGAACAACAGGCCTGTGTAGCGTCATGTTCCGATGCGTACCAAGGTTTCAAAAGACCACACGTCTCACACTGCTGTACATTTCTAACGGCTAAGGGGCGGTCGGGTAGTCTAGTTGTTAAAGCGTTAGCTCGTCACGCCGAAGACCCGGGTTCGATTCCCGACATGGGTACAATGTGTGAAGCCCATTTCTGGGTTCCCCGGCTGTCATATTGCTGGAATATTGCTAAAAGCGGCGTAAAACCATACTCACTCACTCACACACTTTAACGGCTAATGATTGTTTGTTGTTTTTTGTTTGTTGGTTGGTTGGTTAACGCCTCACTCAGCAATATTCCAGCTCTACGACAGCGGTCTGTAAGTAATCGAATCTGGACCAGACAATCCAGTGATTGACATGAGCATCAATCTTCGGGATATGGTGACATGCATCAAAACCATGTTGGCGAGCCTGCCTACCGATCTCGTTAGTCGCCTGTTACAAGCGTGTAAAGAACACACTAGGCAGAATTTTAATTTGAAATTGTGAATTCTTTTAAATTAAAATTATATCAAAAATATAAATGCCATTCAGCTGTTCAACTGAAATTGTAAAAATATGTTAAAGCACATAATTAGCCAATAGAAAACAATTGAAATCTACAAAGGAAAGGGAGTACGTTTGAGTCTATATATATATATGTATGTGTGTTTGTGTATTTTGTATGTGTGTGTGTGCATGTTTATGATATACAGGGGAGGGGAAATTAAAGGAACTTTGATTAAATTTGATCATGTCTATTTAACCATCACTCATTCCTGCAACAGTTTTTGTAAAACAGTCTGTTGTTGGGTAATTTTGTTTAAAAAATATATTGGCTCAACAAAGACTGGGTAAGGAATAAATTTGTTAGGACCATGTTTGATATGTAAATTTGCCTAAAAAGCAAATTTATTGATTTTTCAAATATAAGATGTATAAAATGCCCATCAGCAGTTGTAAATTTAAGAGATTATTATTTTATTTTATTTTTAAAAGTTTTTTTAAATCAAATCTTTGAGGGATTACTAAGTGCCATTATAGTTCTTTAAAAAAGAAATATATACGAGCGGCCAGGTAAAGAGAAAACAAGAAACCAACGAAGTGTCACCATCATATCACAATAATTAAAGCGCCAGAACCCTTTCCATATCCAATAGAAATATCTCTGCATAAAGCAGAGTCGATTGTACGATTCTGACTATATCGTGAGCATGTGTGTATGAATCACTATCAAATAGTGATGATACCAGGTCGGGCGGTTGGGTAACCGAGTGGTTAAAGCGTTCGCTCGTCATGCCGAAGACCCGGGTTCGATTCCCGACTTGGGTACAATGTGTGAACTCCATTTCCGATGTCCCCCGCCGTGATATTGCTCGGATATTGCTAAAAGCGGCGTAAAACCATACTCACTCACTGATACCAGGTGTTCGCGAAAAGGTGTGCGTATCCTGCCCTATCGGTGGCAACCGTCACACATGCAAAGGCAAGTCAGTTGTTCACCTGAAAACACGGGGAACATATGGAAAAAAGTTAAAATAGGGAATTGCAACGGACATCATTTTTGTTACTGATTCGTCAAATTTGGAAATGTCCTCCACATGTCAACCTTAAACCCCTGGATGCCAGAGGGACATATATGTCCCTCCTCTGCAACCCTCACTTTGAAGTCGAATAAAATACATCACCCACACAAATACACTTCACAGTTTTGAATAAGGTGGGAAATTCCCTGTTCTGTGATATCATCCACTTTTCCGATCTTAGGAAAATGTGCGGCAGAAAAACCCCTCGTCATCCAGAGGGTTAAAACATTTTGAAAGATTTACTGAGGCCTTGAATGTTGTAAAACATGATAAAACAACTTCCCGTGTGACGCTCTTTGAAATCTTGGCAGAGAATGCATGCTCGATTGTATCTCAAAAGTTGTGACATGTAAACACCAAAGGCTGGAGTTGCTGGACTATAGCTCGACACGAACGGACATTTGACTGTGGAAAGTCATGCCTTTTGTCATACACAGAATGTGGTATATTTTACGGACGCTTCTATAAGTCCATTAAGCACGTCTGTCTACAAATGTCCGCATCCATGGACGCGTAAATGTCTCTCTCTACACACACAGACGTTATTAGTTCCTTTAAAGGCAGTCTGACACCAACCCCCACCCCCACCCACACCCCCACCCACCCCCACCCCCAATCTACAGCAGTTGAAATGGGTATCATATTTTGGACCTTCTTCCCTTGATATTTGATTGTGATATGTGTATTTGGAGTTTTAGTCAGCCTAAAGGTGAGTGGCGCGTACATGTACAAAGTTATGGAATACTAGAAGGACATTGTCGCGTTGTCGCATTGTCGCCCTTACAAAAACAAGCAAAAAGTGTCAAAATTAAACAAAACGCGTCAAATCGATAACGCGACATTTTGGCGATTTGTCGCATTGTCGCGCTTTCAATAACGGGACATTTTTCAAGGTCAAGATATGTTGTGTTGTCGCATTTTCGCCATTTGGTCAAATAAAAAATCTTATTCAAAGTACGACAATGCGACACTCCGACAACGGTACACTCCGATAAATGGCCATAATGTCGCGTTGTCGCATTGTCGCCCTTTGATTAATTTTGACACTTTAGAGATGCGACAATGTCCCTTCTAGCATTCCATACAAAATAGATGCGATATCAGGGACTTTTCGACTGCCTGGGGCCCGTTCTGTAAAAGCCATTCTTAGCGCTACGACTGTCGTGAGACAAGGTAAAATATTGGAGATACGATGTCACAGCGGATGTGACAGAGAACATACACGGCACATTCGTTCACGTACTGCACGTTCTCATAACAATAATATGATGACGTCATCACCTTATTATGACGTCATCACCTTATTAAGACGTCATCAACACCTGTCGAATTCAAGTAATGGCCGATACAGATGAACGGCACACGAACACTTCATCACAGGATATGACCGACACCTAGGGTTGGAACTAGAACATGTTGGCCACAATCTTCATGTGAACAGATAATGCCACACTTTTTAATCATCCTATTGGGCTTCAGTTTGATCACAGCGCAAACACGTGAGTATCTTTCAGATAACTTCCATGACACCTGGAAAAGCCCAATGTTGTGCCAATCCACATATTTTTCTTTATAAACAATCATAGAAATAACACATCTTCCAAATATTTCTCATGCTCGATTCTTGAATCATATGCAACGATACTGTAAGAAGCAAAAATTCCACTCAACCAATATTTATAAGAATTTTGAAGAGGGTACCCGTCAGTGTATTTCTGTTTATGAGTTGTGAAGGCGGTACCCGTCAGTGTATATCTGTTTAAAAGGGTTATGAAGGGGGTACCCGTCATTGTATATCTGTCTGTGAGTTGAGGGTCGGCCCCAGTGTAGACGAGTTATGAAGGGGGTACCCGTCAGTGTATGTCTGTTTATAAGAGTTGGGAAGGCGGTACCCGTCATTGTATATCCTCTCTGTGATTTGAGGGGCGGACCCAGTCAGTGTAGACGAGTTATGAAGGGGGTACCCGTCAGTGTATGTCTGTTTATAAGAGTTGGGAAGGCGGTACCCGTCATTGTATATCTGTCTGTGATTTGAGGGGCGGCCCCAGTCAGTGTAGACGAGTTATGAAGGGGGTACCCGTCAGTGTATGTCTGTTTATAAGAGTTGGGAAGGCGGTACCCGTCTTTGTATATCCTCTCTGTGATTTGAGGGGCGGACCCAGTCAGTGTAGACGAGTTATGAAGGGGGTACCCGTCAGTTTATAAGCATGCGCTAATGATGACCTCACGTCTGACAGGAGGGTTGGTCCAGTGTTTTAACTGCACAACGACAGAAGACGTGGGATGTAAAGACCCCTTCGACACCGAGGGGCGGATGTCCTACACGTGTCGCCAGGGACAGGCGTGCTTCAAGGTTACCACAGGAGCTCAAGGTTAGATCAAAATATAAACAACTAACTAAATTGCAATATTGTTTTCTATGGCATCTGATTGGCTAACCAAGTAATTTCTTTTCACTATCCTACCCTACCATTTGTGACAGTAGAATGGTTAACGTTCATCGAGAAAATAACGTGGAAAATTATTTTCATTTGCGTAGTTATCCTTTGTTTACATTGGTTGTACGGGCTCCACGTGCTGTCATCGAAGCCCAACGTAGAGCAAGCGGTACGGTCAATTTGATGTATACAGATATATTGTTATGCACCTCACTGTCGCAGTTGCAGTTGCAGTTGCAGTTGCCTTAAAGCACACCGAAAGGCTTGCATATGACCAGTCTGTTCTAATCTCAGAATAAGCGTGTTTGTTTACAGCAAAAAAGAGAGAAAAGTCCGGTCACGTTATATGCAAATTAGCCTGTGTCAGTGTTGTTTGGGCCGAGACATCACTGCGTCGCAGTGTGATTTCTTTTGCGATCATGTTTCCAGAATATTAAGCCACGCCCACTACCGGACTACTGTTTTCTGATTGCCTGATATGAGCTGGGCTAGTGTTGCAATAGTGAGTGAGTGAGTGAGTATGGTTTTACGCCGCTTATGGCAATGTTCCAGCAATATCACGGCGGGGGACACCAGAAATGGGCTTCACACATTGTACCCATGTCGGGAATCGAACCCGGGTCTTCGGCGTGACGAGCGAACGCTTTAACCTCTAGGCTACCCGACCGCCCCTAGTGTTGCAATATTGCGCTGAATGGTTGAACGAACAGTTTGTCTAGTTATTAGTGCTAACTCATTTATTTATAACAATTTACTTCACTATTTTTGAAGTTTTTTGACGTAATGACCGATGCACACACTCAAATCCGCTACAGTCATTTCTAAACGGACTGCAATGTGAGACAGTGATTTGATCAATGATGAGACGTGGTGTCAGCATGATGTGACATTGGCCGGAGTCAATTACCACTTTGGTTAAAACGACGGCCGGACGCGTGGTGCTGACGTACTAAAGATCATTATCGGAGCGAATGTGGGATTCGAACACGCCATCAGCAGATCCCTGCGAGCCTAAGGGGACGCAATTTTGCTCAGATCATTGTGTCGCCTTTGAGAGAATGAGTCAAATTTAAATTTTCAAGGACCCGTGTCAATATTTAGTGAGTAAGTGAACGCAATTTTATTTGCATACCATGGCGTGTTAGATTAATGTGGAGGCTACACAGCTCACCTACATCCGTTTTCCCACGAGCACAGGTATGGTGCTGTCAAACCAAAAATCATTATCGTTGCGAATCTTGAATTCGAACCAACGACCACAGAATTCTGGCTTACCCAACCTACCATAGTGCTATAAGCGTATATTTCGGCGCATTTGATGACAGGGCCACCCACGTCCCTTGTAGGGTCAGTGAAGCAAATCATAGACTTACATTTCGTTTCGTTTCTTGTTGTTTGACGCCGCACTCAGCAATATTCCAGCTTTATGACGGCGGTCCATAAATAATCGAGTCGGGACCAGACAATCCAGTGATTGACATCATGAGCATCAATCTGTGCATTTGGGATACGATGACATGCATCAACCAAGTGCATCTAACCCGCATTCATCACGGGACCACCTTGATATCTTAAACTGAAATTCATTATATTTGTTGTTTTCGTGTAGTGACCAGAGGTTGCATGGCCCACTCCGTGGGGCGCAATCCCGCCAGGCAGCTGAGCGAGGAGGGGGCCACCTGCTACACCGACATCATCAGCCCTACATTCCAGGAGAGGACTATCTGCACGTGCGGTGACGACCTCTGCAACACCGCTGTAAACGTAGTCTTCCCTAACGCAGCTGCAGCTGTAGCCGTTGTAACTTCGCTGGTCGTCCCACTTGTCATCCTCTAACAGTTCATCTGCAGTGTGTACTGGGACGCAGTGACGGCAGTGTCTGACTGTGTGGGTGGCCATCTTCTACAACATCACCTACAGTGTGTCCTGGGGCAGCAGTGACGGCAGTAGTGATGGCAGTGTCTGACTGTGTGTGTGGCCATCTTCCACAACATCACCTACAGTGTGTCCTGGGGCAGCAGTGACGGCAGTGTCCGACTGTGTGTGTGGCCATCTTCTACAACATCACCTACAGTGTGTCCTGGGGAAGCAGTGACGGCAGTGTCTGTCTGTGTAGGTGGCCATCTTCTACAACATCACCTACAGTGTGTCCTGGGGCAGCAATGACGGCAGTGTCTGTCTGTGCGGGTGGCCATCTTCTACAACATCCCCTACAGTGTGTCCTGGGGCAGCAGTGACGGCAGTGTCTGACTGTTTGGGTGGCCATCTTCTACAACATCACCTACAGTGTGTCCTGGGGAAGCAGTGACGTCAGTGTCTGTCTGTGTAGGTGGCCATCTTCTACAACATCCTCTACAGTGAGTCCTGGGGCAGCAGTGACGGCAGTGTCTGACTGTGTGGGTGGCCATCTTCTACAACATCCCCTACAGTGTGTCCTGGGGCAGCAGTGACGGCAGTGTCTGACTGTTTGGGTGGCCATCTTCTACAACATCCCCTACAGTGTGTCCTGGGGAAGCAATGACGGCAGTGTCTGTCTGTGTAGGTGGCCATCTTCTACAACATCACCAACAGTGTGTCCTGGGGCAACAATGACGGCAGTGTGTCTGTGTAGGTGGCCATCTTCTACAACATCACCTACAGTGTGTCCTGGGGCAGCAATGACGGCAGTGTCTGACTGTTTGGGTGGCCATCTTCTACAACATCACCTACAGTGTGTCCTGGGGCAGCAATGACGACAGTGTCTGACTGTTTGGGTGGCCATCTTCTACAACATCCCCTACAGTGTGTCCTGGGGCAGCAATGACGACAGTGTCTGACTGTGTGGGTGGCCATCTTCTACAACATCACCTACAGTGTGACCTGGGGCAGCAGTGACGGCAGTGTCCGACTGTGTGGGTGGCCATCTTCTACAACATCCCCTACAGTGTGTCCTGGGGAAGAAGTGACGGCAGTGTCTGTCTGTGTAGGTGGCCATCTTCTACAACATCACCAACAGTGTGTCCTGGGGCAACAATGACGGCAGTGTGTCTGTGTAGGTGGCCATCTTCTACAACATCACCTACAGTGTGTCCTGGGGCAGCAATGACGGCAGTTTCTGACTGTTTGGGTGGCCATCTTCTACAACATCACCTACAGTGTGTCCTGGGGCAGCAATGACGACAGTGTCTGACTGTTTGGGTGGCCATCTTCTACAACATCCCCTACAGTGTGTCCTGGGGCAGCAATGACGACAGTGTCTGACTGTGTGGGTGGCCATCTTCTACAACATCACCTACAGTGTGACCTGGGGCAGCAGTGACGGCAGTGTCCGACTGTGTGGGTGGCCATCTTCTACAACATCCCCTACAGTGTGTCCTGGGGAAGAAGTGACGGCAGTGTCTGTCTGTGTAGGTGGCCATCTTCTACAACATCACCTACAGTGTGTCGTGGGGCAGCAGTGACGGCAGTGTCCGACTGTGTGTGTGGCCATCTTCTACAACATCCCCTACAGTGTGTCCTGGGGAAGCAGTGACGTCAGTGTCTGTCTGTGTAGGTGGCCATCTTCTACAACATCCTCTACAGTGAGTCCTGGGGCAGCAGTGACGGCAGTGTCTGACTGTGTGGGTGGCCATCTTCTACAACATCCCCTACAGTGTGTCCTGGGGAAGCAATGACGGCAGTGTCTGTCTGTGTAGGTGGCCATCTTCTACAACATCACCAACAGTGTGTCCTGGGGCAACAATGACGGCAGTGTGTCTGTGTAGGTGGCCATCTTCTACAACATCACCTACAGTGTGTCCTGGGGCAGCAATGACGGCAGTGTCTGACTGTTTGGGTGGCCATCTTCTACAACATCCCCTACAGTGTGTCCTGGGGCAGCAATGGCGACAGTGTCTGACTGTGTGGGTGGCCATCTTCTACATCATCTACAGTGTGTCCTGGGGCAGCAATGACGACAGTGTCTGACTGTGTGGGTGGCCATCTTCTACAACATCACCTACAGAGTGTCCTGGGGCAGCAGTGATGGCAGTGTCTGACTGTGTGGGTGGCCATCTTCTACAACATCACCTACAGTGTGTCCTGGGGCAGCAGTGATGGCAGTGTCTGACTGTGTGGGTGGCCATCTTCTACAACATCACCTACAGTGTGTCCTGGGGCAGCAGTGATGGCAGTGTATGACTGTGTGGGTGGCCATCTTCTACAACATCACCTACAGTGTGTCCTGGGGCAGCAGTGATGGCAGTGTCTGACTGTGTGTGTGGCCATCTTCTACAACATCGCCTACAGAGTGTCCTGGGGCAGCAATGACGACAGTGTCTGACTGTGTGGGTGGCCATCTTCTACAACATCACCTACAGAGTGTCCTGGGGCAGCAGTGATGGCAGTGTCTGACTGTGTGGGTGGCCATCTTCTACAACATCACCTACAATGTGTCGTGGGGCAGCAGTGACGGCAGTGTCTGTCTGTGTAGGTGGCCATCTTCTACAACATCCCCTACAGTGTGTCCTGGGGAAGCAGTGACGTCAGTGTCTGTCTGTGTAGGTGGCCATCTTCTACAACATCGCCTACAGAGTGTCCTGGGGCAGCAATGACGACAGTGTCTGACTGTGTGGGTGGCCATCTTCTACAACATCACCTACAGAGTGTCCTGGGGCAGCAGTGATGGCAGTGTCTGACTGTGTGGGTGTCCATCTTCTACAACATCACCTACAGTGTGTCCTGGGGCAGCAGTGATGGCAGTGTCTGACTGTGTGGGTGTCCATCTTCTACAACATCACCTACAGTGTGTCCTGGGGCAGCAATGACGGCAGTGTCTGACTGTGTGGGTGGCCATCTTCTACAACATCACCTACAGAGTGTCCTGGGGCAGCAGTGATGGCAGTGTCTGACTGTGTGGGTGGCCATCTTCTACAACATCACCTACAATGTGTCGTGGGGCAGCAGTGACGGCAGTGTCCGACTGTGTGTGTGGCCATCTTCTACAACATCCCCTACAGTGTGTCCTGGGGAAGCAGTGACGTCAGTGTCTGTCTGTGTAGGTGGCCATCTTCTACAACATCCTCTACAGTGAGTCCTGGGGCAGCAGTGACTGCAGTGTCTGACTGTGTGGGTGGCCATCTTCTACAACATCCCCTACAGTGTGTCCTGGGGCAGCAATGACGGCAGTGTCTGTCTGTGTAGGTGGCCATCTTCTACAACATCACCAACAGTGTGTCCTGGGGCAACAATGACGGCAGTGTCTGTTTGTGTAGGTGGCCATCTTCTACAACATCCCCTACAGTGTGTCCTGGGGCAGCAATGGCGACAGTGTCTGACTGTGTGGGTGGGCCATCTTCTACATCACCTACAGTGTGTCCTGGGGAAGCAGTGACGGCAGTGTCTGTCTGTGTAGGTGGCCATCTTCTACAACATCATCTACAGTGTGTCCTGGGGCAGCAATGACGACAGTTTCTGACTGTGTGGGTGGCCATCTTCTACAACATCACCTACAGAGTGTCCTGGGGCAGCAGTGATGGCAGTGTCTGACTGTGTGGGTGGCCATCTTCTACAACATCACCTACAGTGTGTCGTGGGGCAGCAGTGACGGCAGTGTCCGACTGTGTGGGTGGCCATCTTCTACAACATCCCCTACAGTGTGTCCTGGGGAAGCAGTGACGGCAGTGTCTGTCTGTGTAGGTGGCCATCTTCTACAACATCACCTACAGTGTGTCCTGGGGCAGCAGTGACGGCAGTGTCTGACTGTGTGGGTGGCCATCTTCTACATCACCTACAGTGTGTCCTGGGGCAGCAGTGACGGCAGTGTCTGATTGTGTGGGTGGCCATCTCATACAACATCTTTGTGTCCTGGTGCAGAAGTAACGGCAGTGTCTGACTGTGTAGGTGGCCGTCTTCTGACTGTGCAGGTGGCCGTCTTCTACAACATCACCTACAGTGTGTCCTGATGCAGCAGTGACGGCAGTGTCTGACTGTGTGGGTGGCTATTGTCTTCATGAGAGTTCTTGCAGTGAGGCAATGCTAGCTAATCATCTTGACTGAACAATTAACTGTGCATGACTTGTGTAACGTTACCTTGTCTTACCTTATGAGGTAACATTACTTAAATCTTTTTCTCCTCAATATTACCCTGTACATAGGTATCATATGTAATTTATATAACTGAAAATGTTTTTTAAACATTGTTTCTCATTTCTGTATTATTTTTATCCGAATGCCAACAGCCAGGTTTTGTGTCTGGCTGCATTTTGTATGCCCAAGTTCCTAGGACACCATTCATTCAGGAACAAGTCGTCTTGACAGAGTAGGAAATCACGTGAAGTCCAAGCGCCTTGAGGGTTTTTGACAAAATTTGTCAGTGTGTGAAGCCCCTATTAAAGTTTTTCATTACAAACAGTAGCACAGTGGCCTGGTCACCTTGGTTTCAATCTTAACCTGGAACTTTGAAGATTCACTTTGAAGATTCACGGGTAATGGAGTGCTATCTGGTACACAAATCATTGGTGCTCAGTGGGGCTGGAAGAGTAACTCGGGTACTCGGGTTTGGTGGGTACAGTAATACCCGGACCCGGACCCGGACCCTTGGTTAGCCATATGGGTTAACTCTATGGTTACAGTTCAAGTCACTAATGTTCACACTTCTTTCTGACTATGCACCCATTCCTTCTTTTATATTTTTGAAATAAAGATAAAACTTCAGTCAACTTCAGTGTATGCATGACCAGATCGTTTCATATGTGTTTCTAAATACATTTTGTCCAGGGCTATGGTAAATCTATGCCCAATCGGACACTTTGTACCTATCTCTTGAGATCTACAGCGGGCACCCAGGTTGGGTTGGGTAATAGGGAGGTGGGTACCTGGGTTGTAAATCTAGGGCTGACTCGTCTCAGTATACAAACAAAATACACTGAACAAAAACTCAATAAAAATCAATATATATTTAAAATAATATAAAATTGCATATTATAAGTGCTCAGTGATATTTCACCATATTTTGATATAAGAGAATTGCAATACATGTTATTCATGTACAGTTGGCAGAGATCTATCAACATACAACTTATGTTGGGAATTGAACCTTGGTTCATTGCAGGTCAGGTGGACGCACTAACCACTGGGCTAGCTGGAGTGTACATTTGAACAATTCTACAGAAAACAATGGTTTTGTTGGTAAACAATACATTTGTAAACAAACTGTCTATTTGTAACTGGTCCACTCATTACACAAACACACACTATAAAAAGTATCCTGCACAATATTATCAATGCAAAACATTATCTACATAACATTGAGACTCGTGAAGATGCGGGGTTAATAGGTCTTCTGCAAAGCATGCTTGCCATAAGAGGCGACTATGCTTGTGGTAAGAGGCGACTAACGGGATCGGGTGGTCAGGCTCACTGACTTGGTTGATGGATGTCATGATATCCCAATTGCGTGAATCGATGATCATGATGTCAATTACTGAATTGTCTGGTCCAGACTTGATTATTTACAGACCGCTGTCTTATAGCTTGAATATTGCTGAGTGAGGGGTTAAACAACAAACAAACAAACATAGCATTGGTAGAAGACAAACTGTGATTGTGTTCACAAGATCCATATAATACCAACACACCCTGTAAAACAGTTACTCTCACATCAGGTGTAGATAGGTTGTGAGACAAAGATTTTGGCAAATGTTTCACAAAACACATGGAATGAGTATCATTGGGGCAAATGTGTCACAAAACACATGGAATGAGTATCATTGGGGCAAATGTGTCACAAAACACATGGAATGAGTATCATTGAGGCAAATGTGTCACAAAACACATGGAATAAGTATCGTTGGGGCAAATGTTTCACAACACACATGGAATAAGTATCATTGGGGCAAATGTGTCACAAAACACATGGAATAAGTATCATTGGTGCAAATGTGTCACAAAACACATGGAATAAGTATCATTGGGGCAAATGTGTCACAAAACACATGGAATAAGTATCATTGGGGCAAATGTGTCACAAAACACATGAAATGAGTATCATTGGGGCAAATGTGTCACAATACACATGGAATAAGTTTCATTAGGGCTCTTTTCCAGCTACCTGCTATCCTTGCTCAATGTCCTTGAGATTCAAGGTCACATGGGAAAATTCAGATTATTGATATCTAACTGCATCCTGTCCTTGAGTGAAATGAATGTTGGCATTAGTTGGAAATCTGTACACATTGGTTTTCAACAGAGTGAGTGAGTGAGTTGGGTTTTACGCCGCTTTTAACAGTATTCCAGTTATATCACGGCGTGTCAGCTTAATGTGGGAGGAAAGCCCGAAGTGATGCAGGTCTCAGACCTTTACCACTTCGGTGAAACCCACGAGCACGGGTATGGTGCTCACAAACCTAGGAACATAATCGGGGCGAACCGGGATTCGAACCCACAATCATAGGTTTCTGGTGTGCCCAAGGGACACAACTCTGCACAGCAAATCGCGGCGCCTTAGACGACTGGGCCACCCGTGCCCCCGGTTTTCAACAGAGATACAACATAAGATTTTGTTTTATATCAATACCATACTCACCATTTGTTTCAAAATCATAGCAAGCCAAGACATTTAAAAAGTACTGAGCATGTTTCTGATGTGAGAGTGAAAAGGTCAGGGTTGCTTCTGCTGAATAAAGAAACGAAAATCCTCTTCACAGCGGTATCTAACCTGTATCACTTCAGGCTTTCCTCAAACATCAAGCCATGATATCACTAAAATACTGCTCACATTGGCATTAAACCAAATTCACCCACTCACTCACACAGATCCTCGGATGAGAAACCATCATTGAGCTAAACTCCACCCAATAATACCTTACAATGTCATTCATTCACTGTAACCTTGAAGATGTCAAACCAGTCTGCCCTGACCAGGTTGAACATCGACCTGTGTCTGAAGTACAGTTGCATATTGGCCGTCTGGTCATCGTCAACGATGTTTCTGGCCATCCACTCCCTCATCAACCTGGAGTGGAGAGCATGGTACTGGGACAACACCTTAATGCCACCTCCGAACACTCCACCCACCAGGATGTTAACATTCTTCTTATGAAGGTCCTTGACCTTGGCCCAGTTTTCAATGTCACCCCGGACTAAGAAAGACAGTTTGTTGGGAACCCGAGTCAGTCGGTCGGGCTTCCAGATGGCGTCTGGCGGAAAGATGCCCTCTCCACCATGTCCATACCCACCGTCCATCCAAAAAAAGTAAGTACTGTTGAAAGGGTTCAATCTGACGGCTTCATTTACAAGATGTATTTTGGACAGTTGCAAAATATCGTAATCAGGGTTGGTGGCCTCAACATGGTCTCCCTGGGCCAGCAGCTCATTTCCTTGTTGGTACTCCTCGCTGTCCATAATCTGCTGCATTTTGGACTTGTACTTGTAGTACGGGAACTGCGACAGTTGGATTGGGCGGATCTTGGTGAACCCTCCTCGTCCTCTTCTCATCCATTCTACAAATGGCCGCCCCTTCTCCTCGATGTAGACCACCATGTTGACATCCAGCCTCAGGACCTGGGACATGTATATCAGGTACTTGTTGTAACTGCGACTCTGCTTTGACCATGATCCTCTACCAATATCAAGCATCCCCGTTACCACGGTGAAGTTGTATGCTCCTACAAAATACAGAATGGTTGAGTGGGTGGATGTTTGTTTTTAGGCCACAGTCTTCAATATTCTAGATATATCACCATCATCAAGTCCTAAAGTCCTAAAGACCGTCTCAGTAGTCATGGTAGAGCGTCCGCCCGGAGAGCAGAAGGTCCGGGGTTCGATCCCCAGCCGCGTCATACCAAAAGACGTTAAAAGATGGTACTTGTTGTTAACCTGTCTGGCGCTTGGCATTAAGGGGCTAAAACAAGGACTGGTCGGCTCGGAGTCAGTATACTGTGTCTGAGTGGGGTATTCATGTTAAACTGCGGCATGGTATCTCAGTGTGCTAGCACTATAAATCGGCATCAGTCTGGACTAGTACAAGCAGCCACACACACACATACACTATATAACTATATCGCTATATAAGTGCAATAATCTTGGACGCGACGTTAAACCCCATTTCACCTCACCTCACCTAAAGTCATAAACCAAAATGGCTTGGGCAAATCAGTGCCTGAACGAAACTGTTCATAGTGTGAGAGTAAGAGAACACATGATCAGCCAAGTCTCACATTGCAACCATAAACATGATAAAACATGTCTTATTGTCTTTGAAAATTCAAAGAAAATGAATAGAAACGGACAGTCGCTCATGTCACTTCAAAAACGTTTCAAATAGAGGAAATAAATGCTTTCCAAAAAAGGGATGGGACAAAAGACATTCATTATATTATTATAAAATATCTTTTGCAAACATTGGTCTGCTTGCTGGCTGCAGGCTTCAACTAGATGCTTGGCCTTCAGTTACAAAGGGTTGGTGCATTGCTTTGCCTGGTCAGGAAAATAGTACTATCCCATGCTTTACTAGTACCAGAGGTGAGGTGAAATGGGGTTTAACGTCACGTCCAAGATTATTGCTGTTCTATAGCGATGTGCATGTACGTGTGTGTGTTTGTGTGTCTGCTTGTACTAGTCCGGACTGCTGCCGATTTATAGTGCTAGCTCACTGAGATACCATGCCGCAGTTTAACATGAATACCCCACTCAGACACAGTATACTTACTTCGAGTCGACCAGTCCTTGTTTTAGCCCCTTAATGCCAAGCACCAGACAGGGTAACAACAAGTACAATCTTTTGATGTCTTTTGGTAGGAGGCGATCGGGGATTGAACCCCGGACCTTCCGCTCTACCACAAGACAACGGAGGCGGTCCTAATAGTACCAGAAAACACATATCTTAACAATATATAAGTATTCACCAAATATTTCTGTAAAGAATTAATGGCACTGTCCCAAATATTTTACGACATCAAAGACGTGTCTGCAAAAACCTGAATCCCCAATACCATCTGATGTATCACTGTGAGGCTCACAGCTCACCCCTGAGTCCCCAATACCATCTAATGTTTCACTGTGAGGCTCACAGCTCCCCCCTGAGTCCCCAATACCATCTAATGTTTCACTGTGAGGCTCACAGCTCACCCCTGAATCCCCAATACCATCTAATGTTTCACTGTGAGGCTCACTGCTCACTCCTGAATCCCCAATACTACTTAACACAAATCTGTATTGAGAAAAGGGTGCAATATGAAGTTCAATTACTGACAAAAATATCGAAATATATATTATGCAAAGGACACCAGTATTTTGAGTTTACAGCTGAATCCCATATTATTTTTACCACACTGCTGAGTCCCGAATACACTTTAAACACTCTGCGGGGCGGTCAGGTAGCCTAGTGGTTACAGCGTTTGCTTGTCACGCCAAAGACCCAGGTTCGATTCCCAACATGGGTACAATGTGTGAGGCCCATTTCTGGTGTCCCCGCCGTGATATTGCTGGAATATTGCTTAAAAATGGCGTAAAAACAATACTCATTCACTCATTTAAACACTCTACACTTTCTGAATGGTTAGGTATTAACAGCAACTTTTAGGCACATTAACCATTGGTGGTCTGCAGTGGTCTGCATGTAGTGTTTGTGATTTTTGAGGTAGGCTTTGTGGGAAGGAACACTACCCCAACCCACCCACCCGCCTGCCCACCCGGCACTGAAATTACAAATGACCCCAGTGGAACCCCACCCCTCCCTGTCCCCAAGCCATCTTTTTAAATCCTTAAAGGGGGAAAATTGGTTTGGCCAAATCCGTCCTAATTAATAAACGATGACTCAATAATATGCTAAAGTACTCACGGAATTTGAAAAAACCCTGTTTTTCTCAATTTAAAAGTCGACACAAAGTGTCACGTTGCTGTAAATACGAAATAACAAAACAACTCAAAAAGTACTAGTCTGGATTTGCTAGTTTGATCTCAGTGAACAATACAAAATGTACTTTACAGGAGGCATTTACTATAGGCATTATGCACCTGTTCTCACCTGTCGTCAAGGTGTCATAGGTCATGGACATTCACCATGATCTACTTACACCTGGTTATGCCCTGTTTCACAATAGTCTGTTTTATTCACATTTTTACACACTTTTACTTGTAAAAAGGCATAAAAACCTTTGATACGATGTATTTGTGCCAAGGCCCAATTAGTACTAATTGAGTTGTTTGAATATTTACATATTTTGTATATTAACTGCATTTATTTAAGATCTGAGGTCGAAAAAACAGGTTTTTTTCATTTCCGTGAGTACTTTAGTCGGGTATGCGTACATATAAGTAGTTAAGTACATTACCTCTCTTTTCTCCAAATCCTTCCCAGTGGGTTATCGTGTAGCTGAGCCGGACGTCGTCAGGTGTCCATTTACGTGACACGACCAGGAGATAGAGACCCACAAGGCACACACTGCATATTGCCACAGCTATCACCAACATCCGCGGGTTGACAGTCGGGTGGATTATCCCTAATCGCTGCTTTATCCATCTCTGATATATCTATGGATACAAAAATATTGATAACACTGACATGTTTGGCATTTAGATCACAACAACAATCCATTTCACACCGTTGATTACAGGTGTACCGTTACCATGTAGCCTACCTGACGGATGAAGAGGGGTCATCATCAACATCAACCAGTATATTATAATATAGCGATCTGTGTGTATTCTTGTGATTCAACTCATTATTATCTCCCAAATTAATACACACACTGTACCTTTTGAAGATTCATATATCAATTTAATGTCTTTTTGCATAGATGATGACAGCACCGTTGTTTCTATGAGCAAGATCGTGCATCAATGAATGGGTACGAGGCCAGAACGGCCACCGTATGAAAATGGCAGGGTGTGTTTAAAAAACCGGCCAGGGCTAGGGAACGCTGCCATACGAGAAATGTAATAATCAAATTTATTATCCAAAATACTGTTATATTGATTGTGAATGAGTGAGTAAAATGTCGCTTTGAACAATATTTCAGTTAATCAGGTAGCCTTTAGGTAAAACGGGTGTCATGTGGTCTGAGGCGCCGCAATTACAGTCCGTTTGACTCCAAATGAGAACGATGAATTGCAAAATAACTCGAAATCCAGAAAAGTGTATGAAACATCAATACGGTACTTGAACATGAATACCCTGTACCCAACAAAATCTGAATTTTGTTTAATTTAAGACCCATGACGGATGAAGTTCTTTAAGAAACTGTTATGTAATTTTGTATAGAAATGTGTACATGACACGTAGGGGGACAAACCGTGGAAGGAACAGCGCAAGCACGGTCTGCACGTGCTACACAGTGACCGTGTTCATTCAATGACAAGATGCGCTACTCAGCAGATGTTAAACAGTTGATGTTGAATGTGTATGATTTCTTTAGAAGTGAAGCAGAAAGAGCAAAGGTTTTTTATGCAATTAATAAATTCTTGAAACGAGCTTCAAAAGCTCTTGGTATGTCCCCTCAGAAACTTAAAAATGTTGTTAGTCGACGAGATACAAATAGTCAGGCCAAGGAGGTAGGGAACATGTCAAAACATCGCAAGGTTGATAAATTATACAGTTTTCAGAGGGATCAAGTCAGACGTGCAATTGTTAAAATGCACTCAGAAAATAAGTACCTGTCCCTAAGTATTTTGAAGAAACACCTTGAAACTGACCATGATTTACGTGTTACAAAGTACAAACTATGCCAGCTGTTTCATACATTTGGTTACAAATACAAAAAGATAACTGGGGAAAATAGGGCTGTGTTGTGTGAAAGGGTCTGACATTGTTCGTCTCCGAAATCATTACCTTCGTACCATCAAGCAGAAACGTGAAGAAGGATATGAGTCCGTCTTCTTAGATGATACATGGGTAAATGCATCACACACAGCCAGCAGTCAGTGGGTACCCAGTGGTGACTGTAAGGAGTCTGGTAGAAAGTTACCAATGGGAAAGGGTGAAAGACTCATAGTTCTCCATGCTGGTTCTGCTAGTCAGGGTTTTCTCCCAGACTGTGACCTCGTCTTTAGAGCCAAGGCCAAAGACAACAGGGACTACCACACAGAAATGAACGGCAATGTATTTCTGGAGTAGGTGAAAGAAAATTAGTCCCTGCTTTGCCTACCAAGTCTCTCATTGTCATTGACAATGCACCGTATCATCGTGTGCAGGATCCATAAAGCAAGACTCCAACCTCTAATAACCGTAAAGTAGACATGGCTACTTGGCTGCAACGGAGGAACATTACCTTTCCTTCTCGAGCGACGAAACCACAGCTCTATGAAATCATCAAAACTATGAAACCTGACCCCGTGTATAAAGTTGACAGTTACATCAAGGGTCAGGGTCACGCTGTCTTACGACTGCCACCTTATCACTGCGACCTGAATCCAATCGAGTTGGTATGGGGCATCGTCAAGGGTGACGTTGGACGATCGAACACAACGTTCAAATTACGAGTTGCGTCCCTTAGGCGTACCACGATCCTATGATCGTAAGTTCGAATCCCAGATAAGTCCTGATCATTATCCTTGGTTCGCCAACACACCTGTCTGTGTAAAGGAGCTCACCAAAATGGTAAACGTCTAAGACCTGCAATACTTCGGGATTTCCTCCCATGCTAAACCTGATTGTGAGTGATATACTTGCTCAAGGAGGCTTAACAACTGACTCACTTTTGTCTGATTTCTGGTCCAGACTCGATTATTTACAGATTGCCGTCATATAACTGAATATTGCCGAGTGGGGCGTTAAACAACAAACACACGTATGTCCATAAACGCTCTCATCGTCGAGGCATGAAAAAATAAACTATTCTCATTGTAACTTACACTACCCAGTGGTCGAAGGCGCCGAAATTCGCTGTGCCAGGTTACGTCCCTTAGTCTTGTCAGGATCCGCTGGTCGTGGATTCGAATCCTAGAATGACTCCCATTTTGATCCTTGGTGTGACAACATCATACCCATCTCGTTGTTTTCACCAAGTGGTTAATGTCTACAGTCCGCATCACATTGGAGCTGTATTCATAAACCTTCTAAGAAAGATTTAAACATTTTCCAATTTAAGCATTCTTAGCTAATACAAGGTCCTAAAAATGAATTCATAAACGCAATAAAAGCAACTTTTATCTCACAAATAAGATTGATTGTGATACGACACTAAGACTGCCTTCTAACCGAACCCAGGAGTGTTCCTTATATTTTCAGTCTTACAGATTTAGAAGAATCAAATGAGGTAATAGTGAGTGAGTATAGTCTTATGCCAATTTTAGCGACATTCCAGAGGGGAAACAAGAAATGGGCTTCACACATTTTACCCATGTGGGAAATCGAACCCGGGTCTTCGGCGTGACGAGTGAACGCTTTAACTACGAGGCTACCCCTCCGCCCAATAAGGTAATACAATATTTATTATTACCAATAGGGTTAGAAATAAGTTCATAAAAATCGGATGTGCACAAGAGCAAATATCACTTGACGGGCACCAGTATATTGTTTACGTCATCCGGTCGGCATTGTTAACGTCATTCGAATTCATTGTGACGTAAGGTCGGATTGACGTCACACTAGAGAAGAAGTCATAACTAAAGATTGTTGACGTCATTCGACAATGTGAATTTTTTTAAGACGACGGTCTTGATCAGTGATTTTTTTAAAGCGGAGCTCAAAAGGATTAAGAAAAAATTGGTAATAAAGAAATTATTATATTATTTGTGTCATACTGATTTTACGAAACTCGTGTAAGAATTCATGTACAGCAAACTACGGTTATAACAAACTCGAAGGGACCACTAATTTTAGTTCGTAATAACCGTAGTTCGTTATAGGCATATATACAGCATTTATACAAGAAATGGTCGGGACTAAAAAATAAGTTCGTTATATCGGTCTGTTCGTTATAAGCGCGTTCGTTATAAACGTAGGTTACTGTATTACCCTCGCTATCGCTCGGGAAATACAAGAATTCTGACACTCGTATGACACAAATCGTATAATAACCTCTACGTGTTGCCTTATTCATAGATTTGGTTTGTCCCCTTCAACTAAAACTTTGCAGTCCCTTTCAACCTCTAACCCATACGGCTGTTTTTGTCAAATGCGCGCCGGCCGTTTTCTACCATTGCTGTTTTCTCCGCATACCAACGCTTGCCGCAGAGGCTGGTTCATCAATAAAAGAACACGATCAAAACATACTCAAGTCAGCTTGGATACGAGGGTACCTGTGGCGGCTTCTATTGATCCCCTATAAAATTAATCCCGTCTTTGAAAGGCATTTAGAAGTGATACACACGAGGAAGAGAATTTATGGAGGTCAACTTCTTTATTATATGTGGAACACAACGTTTCGGAGTTTACCCTTATATGCTTCTCCTTCATCAGGTGAATGAATGCTATGAGGCCGAGAGCATATATATGTACATGTAAGAACAACAAACGTAAGAACCTAAAAAAAGGTGGAAACTTAACAAGGGAAGCCAATAGACCATTGGCGCTGATAGGTGATTAATAATAGACAATGGAAGCCACACTTTACAGTAATTAGCGCTGATCGTTATGGACACCTGGGTAGTTACTCATCAAGCGCCAATTACAAAATAACCCTTGCAGAATTCCTGCCGATTCCAAATAAACCGCGGAATTATTCAACCTTTGCCTTCCGAATATGCTAACATGACGTGTAAGTAGTTTAAAATTACTACCTATCCCGCCTGTCACAGGCGTCCTATGAATATTCATGAGTCTAGTGTTATGCTAATAGACATGCATGACGTCACAATGAGAACGGAGTCATTATGCATGATTAGGAATGTGAAGAATGCGGCCTTTGTTGAAAGGTCTTAGCCTCCTAAGGAATGCCAGCTATTTGGAATGTAGTCGGGTAGATTCCTTCATATGTATACTGTTTGTTTGTTGTTTAACACCGCACTCAGCAATATTCCAGCTATATGACGGCGGTCTGTAAAGAATCGAGTCTGGACCAGACAACCCAGTGACTGACATCATGAGCATCGATCCACGCAATTGGGATACGTTGACATGCATCAACAAGGTCAGCGAGCCTGACCACGCGATCCCGTTAGTCGCCTTTTACGACAAGCATAGTCGCCTTTTACGGCAAGCATGGGTTGCTGAAGACCTATTCTACCCCGGATCTTCACGGGTCTTCAGATGTATACTAGGATGATCATCAGCAAATGAAATGTCATCGTTTCGTGAAGAAATGTGGAATTCTTTAGGAATGGCATTGAAGCTATTTGGAATGTAGTCGGGGTAGATAGATACCTTCAGACACACACTGAAGTCATCAGCAAATGGAATGTCACCCTTTCATGAAGAAATGTTGAATTCTTAGGAATGACACTGAAGCTATTGGAATGTAGACGGGGTAGATACCTACAGATACATAGAAGAAATATCGTCATCAAATGGAATGTCACCCTATCGTGAAAGAATGAAACAGTCCTCGATCTCTTGATCTTGGCAGTTGCCCCCCTGTAGAATACAGTTTTATTTGAATCATTAAAATACAAGTTGGGGACAAGTGATACTTGTACAAATATTTGCCCCCCAAAAAGTTAACTACGGCCTTGATAACACTAAGCTTATGAATATTCATAGGGGGGCTGTGGCTGGCGGGAGAGGTATTAAAATCCTACTACTCGTGTACAATAACATTGGAAGAAAATGTGAAAAAATTAGTTTTAAGCCAACCTGTCTTCATAGTAATTTACTATTCACATGTATATTTCCATCTCACGAGAACCATGTATTTATTAACTTCCTATTTGCTCTCGCGATTTTCAGCAATTTCATAGTGGGTCTTCTTATGTCATGTATATGGAGTGAGTGAGTGAGTTTGGTTTTACGCCGCTTTTAGCAATATTCCAGCAATATCACGGCGGGGGACACCAGAAATGAGCTTCACACATTGTACCCATGTCGGGAATCGAACCCGGGTCTTCAGCGTGACGAGCGAACGCTTTTACCACTAGGCTACCCGACCGCCCCTCATGTATATGGAAACATTTGCATGCATGGGTATTGTAGACACACATAAAGGAAGAGCAAATTGTATAAATACATGTTATTTTGGTCATGAGTGAGTGAGTGAGTGATTGAGTGACTTAGTGATTTGGGTTTAACGCCGCTTTTAACAGTATTCCCGTTATATCGCAGCGTGTCAGCTTAATGAGGGAGGAAAGCCCGAAGTGATGCAGGTCTCAGACGTTTAACACGATTTGTCCCCTGAGCTACAAACGTCTGTTTCCTCGTCCCCGAAGGGCTAGTAATATCTCCATGGAGATAGTAAAATATCAAATGAACTTTCAACACTGTTGCTACCCATGGTAATTACACTAACGCTTACCGATGCACATTTCCAGAGTATACATGTGGATACATATGTAATTTAGTGCCATATAAACAAATCTACCTTATTTCACCTCAAGAGAGACATCACATAGTTAAACATCCCCATTTTTATGTTTGTTTGTTGTTTAACGTCGCGCTCAGCAGTATTACAGCTATGTGACGGCGGTCCTTAAATAATCGAGTCTTGACCATGATTGACATCATGAACATCGATCCGCGCAAACGGGATATGATGACATTGCATCAACCTTGTCAGAGAGCCTGACCACCCGATACCGTTAGTCGCCTCTTACGACAAGCATCGTCGCCTTTTACGGCAAGCATGAAGACCTATTCTCTACCCAGAACTCCTCACATTTGCAACTGCACTATCGTCTCGTACATGGGCGGCTTTAAACAACAAACACACACAAATATACATTTACAGAGCTCTATTTCTCCACAGCAAGTTAGGAAAGCCCTGATTTTATCATTGGCCATTCAACAGTACGGGACAAAAAGGCTACACTTGGTGTCTGAAAAAGAAAATGTTTATGCATTACCGAAATAGATTGAGTTTGAAACACGGCCAAAACACCAACCGACCACGAATCGTGGTGTTTTGGAAGTCCCGAGTTTCATACAAATTATAATTTCTTGTTTATAACGTATAAGCCAATATACTCACGTTGGAAAAGGATACTCATTTATTTACTGGCTTCTAAAGCATTTAAGTGATGAGCGTTATAGTCAAACGTTTATGTGCAAACCCATTTGAGACAGCCATCTTTTCAACCGTCGACACTGTATTTATATTTTATGTATGCTTCATTCGATAGCTACGGGTCATTTCAACGCGTTCATCGACGAAAAGACACGCTTTTCACGTTTCGGGTGAGGTGAAATAAGGTTTAACCTGTGTCAAAGAGTATTGCACTTATATATCGAGGTGCATGCACGTTTGTGTGTGGCTGCTTGTACAAGTCCGGACTAGTTTGGTTGTTCCTTTAGGCCAGTCAGAATATTCCCGCTATAACACTTCGACCTGTAATGTTCGAATCTCGACCAGACACACCAGTGGCTGAAGACAATTTGCGTCATCCCACGCCATCGGGTACAATGACATAAATCAGTCAAGCTACCGAGATTGTAAATCCTCCATCCAATTTAGTTATTTCTTATGACTTGCAATCCATATGTTTAACACCACACTCGGCAATTTTCCAACCATTGGACTCCGGCCTGACGATCTGATCAGACAATGATCTTGCATAAGCATAGGTTGCTGGGGATCTACTCTCCAACTCAGAGATATTGCGCTAGGCCGTTCCTAAGCTGGTCGGAACTCTTCAGAGGATGATTGTTGAAGCGCTGATAAAATCCCAGTTAGGCAAACACCATAGAAAATCCTTGACAGGATAGGCATCCATCATTCATCTAGGCTTGTATTTAGCCAACAACATTTTCTGTATCATCTAACCCCACCAGCCATTCAGTGGATCAGGGCATGCACATGCAGTGGTTTGCCGGCTGGCTTATGTTTGATTACAACAGCCTTGATGTACCGGTGAGGTGAGGTGAAATCGGGTTTAACGTCACGTCCAAGAGTATTGCATTTATATAGCGACATGCATGCACGTGTGTGGCTGCTTGTACTAGTCCGGACTGATGCCGATTTATAGTGCTAGCCCATTGAGATATCATGCCACAGTTTAACATGAATACCCCACTCAGACACAGTATACTGACTAGTCCTTGTTTTAGCCCCTTCATGATGAGTGCCAGATAGGGTAAAAACAAGTACCATCTTTTAACGTCTTTTGGTATGACGCGGCCGGGGATTGAACCGCGGACCTTCTGCTCTCCGGGCAGACGATCTACCACAAGACCACGGAGGTGGCCTGATATACTGTTGAAATATTGTGGACTGATGCATGAAACAAGATTCAATAATCAATTCCCTGCCCAAAGCTTTGACCAGCTACTGGGTCAACAAATCTAGAATTATTCACTTCAGTGGTAGAATTAAAAAACAAAAATCATCATTTTTTATGCACATATTTATTTCATGTATCAAAATTAGACATAAAATCTTCTTCCCTCATCATATCCTGGAGGTCGACATCGGAGTCTGACTCGGCCGCCTCCATCAGCTCCTCCTCGCTCCCATCCTGATCATCCTTCACATGTTTCCGCTTGTTCCGCGACATCGCCACGATGAAGTCAAGGTGGTACTTGTTGTGATCACATCTGCAATTCAAATGTAAGGTGATAACATGCGTTCTCTAAATATGAGGCTTAATTATTATTAAACCTGTCCCTTTCTGAATGATGGGTATGGGTAGCACAGTAGTCTTTGTTGCTACAGTGTTGTACTGGGTGTGGGTTTGAACTCCAAATTTGTCCTGACGATGCAAAACTATATGCCTGTGTGAGTACGTGGGTGAGTGGGTGTGTGTGGCTGGTTGAGTGCATCTTCCCGAGGCAAGAGCGTTAACTGACTTTAAAAGTCCAGTTTCCACCCTTGCCGAACTAGGATGGAATTCCTGGGCTCGATCGTAGCGCCACCAGTGGCTATTACGAGTTATGTCCTTTCTATGCCTCTCCTTTTGACCAATCAGATTCAACCTCTCGTATCACTTGCATTTGCTTCAAACAAAACGGTGGCGCCCAGTCAAGACGATCTGATTGATAATCAAGATCTATATTGTGATAAAACGAGTCTTACATCGCGAAGTGCATCAAATCACATGAGCACCTTGATTAAAAGCATGAACAAATTTAGAAAATATCTGTTGACGAGTTAGCGGTGCACATGCTTTGCAAATCCTGCAGTCGACCGAAATCTGCATGACTCTTTACGAACCGGATTTCGATTTCAGTGCGCGATTTTGGTTGGACTATGCATAGACTCGTTAGTCCAGCCAAAATCTAACTCCATAATACCAGCCTAGTTCGGCAAGGGTGGAGACTGGACTTTTATAGTCAGTTAACTCTCTTGCCTTGGGAAGATGGGTTGAGTGTGAGTGAGTGAGTGAGTGAGTGTGTGAGTTAGTTGGGTTAAACGCCGCTTTTAACAGTATTCCAGTTATATCGCGGCGTGTCAGCTTAATGTGTGAGGAAAGCCCGAAGTGATGCAGGCCTCAGACGTTTACCACTTTGGTGAAACCTACGAGCACAGATATGGTGATGACAAACCTAGAAACATAACTGGGGCGAACTGGGATTCGAATCCACAATCATAGGTTTCTGGCAACTCTGCACAGCGGATCGTGGTGCCTAAGACGACTGGGCCACCCGTGCCCCCTTTTTGAGCGTGTGGGTGAGTGGGTGGTTATTGGGTGCATGAGTGGGCGGATGAGTGATTGAATGGGAAGAAGCATACAAGTCATCGATAACCCCCAAATGGTAAATACTTGGTGTGAATATGCCATCAAAACTCAAACATATTTTTGTTTTTAAAAATCCCAAACTATCAAAAAGCACAAGTTCACAACTAGACTTATCTTAGACTGATGGTGTACATTATAATACCTTCCCACAAAACACACTGTGGGCGATAAAGAGACTTTCACATGTACAGGGCTGACAATCCAAAGGTCTTAATCAGTAAGAATCTGGGACTAGAACCCATATCAATGTATCTTTGCATGACAAAGGAACCTAACTCTACAGCATCAACCTCTGTGCCTCAGACCCGTCACATATACTTTGCACCACACTGACAACTGTTCAGGCATTGCATCTAACTCCGCCTTACTAACTTGAAGCAAAAATACACAAACCGCAAAGGTAGCCAATCACTTCCAATCAGTGCTGACCAGTGCTTAAGAGAAAATAGATCTGCTATTGCCCATAGTAGGAGAATCTCACAGATTGTCCCTAATCCTTGAACAAAGATTTCCCCAACACCATGAGAACCATACCAAAGGTGTCACATGCGGCTAGCTTATTTCAGTCAGCTTTGAGCTGTAACATCTTTATGGTGGAATTCGGATGAATCTATTTTAAGCCGATACCTGTGCTGAGATGGCACTTTGTTTAATTTTCCATATCTTTCCACATGATGGTCATTAAGATATGTGACCCACCAGGGCATTAGGGACCTAATTGGTGCTAGGAAACAATTGTCCTCTGAAAGAGTGACGTTTGACGTCAACTTACTTCTGTAAAAAATGGCCAAGTGTGAGGACTGTACAAAAATATCTTATTTATCTCTCTTTAGTTTGTAATGTAGTAAAAACATTATTTCAAAACATTTCAGCAATTTTATCGGAACATTATATCTAAAAACTGCAATATCAAAACAGTTATAAGTCTGTAAATGGGACTTTGCAGAAAATGAGTCCAAATGTTTGATGCCATGTTTCTTTGTAATAAATAATAATTGAAGCTTGTGAATTGTATTTATGTGTTCCTAAGATACTGTACTTTTAACAAATAATGAGAAGTCAAAACGTAACTTTTCACCCATGAGGCAGCTGTTCTCCTGGTGGGGTCACATATGTCATTTTATGGATATACAGGGCGCAAATTAATATTTTTAAAATGCTTGTAAAAACTCTTCTTGCGTTTCAATACTTACAGTTTTCCAATATCCTCGTATTTCCGGGTGACATTTTTCTGAAGGGTTCTCAGAGTAGCCATGACCTTTTGTGACCTTTGCTTGACCTTTGGCCCATGTACAAAAAGCAGACGTTGTATCCAAGTGAGATAGAACTGGAGATGAGCAGATGTCTCTATCTGATTGGCCACATACCCGAGCAGACGGTCAACATATGTGTCTGGTAATGACTGGCAGATAACGTCAACTGCAACACAATGATTATATCTAACTTCAGACATCAATTATTAATGTTAGACTAATTGGTAAACATTTCTTTGAGAATATAAGCTATGGAAATAAACAAGAGTCATCAGGTATGACATATACCCAAGATCCACTGATGGTCATCCAAAATACTATTGAATAGCTTTGAGATAATGAAAATAATGAAAATAAAAACAAAACATGCAGCAGACTTTATGATGATGTAGGCAGCGCCTGACAACCAGGACTATTGATTTTTTTAGCCTAATTCTCATGTATACAACTGTAGGGACGTTAACAGAAATAAACTTAGAGTTCTGATGACTGAAGACATGTGACAATCATCCTTACTGTCATCGGGTGGAATAGATTCCAGGACTTCCTGAATCAGCTTCTGTTCATTCAGACGGAAACTGAGAAGAAGAGCTTTAGAGTGATCTCCCTTTGCCAAGGTCATTCTGACACTGGCCGGCGTGATGTCTGTGTCCAGTTCATAGGGATCAAACACCAGGTTGTGGTCGAGGGAGTAGATGAGGAGACCTTCTGTGGACGTGGCAGCCCACGCACGCCCTGAACATAAACAGTACATCAATCAAACTTTGGTGAATAGTTCTAAGTCAAGCTGTTAAAGAGGACTCATGCTATACCGTAAACTACGATTATAGCAAACTGACGGATTTAACAAACTATTTCTTGGTCTCGTCCATTTGCTGAATATATGTTATTAAAATTAAAATTAAAATCAAAATTAGTAGTCCCTTTGAGTTCGTTATAACCGTAGTTTACTGTATTTAAAAAAGAGTGGGATTGGGTAAGTCAGTGTTACTTTTTATGATCCTTGACACTGGGGTTGTTCACGGTGTGAGTGAGAGATTTGGTCACAACATGTTTCCTGACATAAAGAGGATGGTGCAGTGAGAGAGTGAGGAATAGAGTGAATGCATGTTGCTTGGCGCTGCACTCCAAAATATTCCAGCTATATCATGGTTCAATGTAAAGCAATCAACTCCCGGCACAATGGCACGCCATCAGCAAAGCCACCGACAACCAGATCCAATCAGCTCTCACAACAAGTACCAGAGTGCTGAGACCCACAGCAACCTACGTCCCCCTGGAGATCATCCCAGTTATCTCCCTTTCACACAGGTGTTACTTCTTGAACATGTCTGGATCCCAATACTTTGCCATACTTACCTGGTGTAGTCATAATGGTTTTACAAGCTGCTCTCAGAAAATACCAGACCCCCATAGCAGAGGACACTTTAACAACTGCATCGTAATGTGAAAGCATCACTTACCTGTTGGAGAGAACCTGACTGTGGAGATGAGGACCTCTGGTTTGAAGTGCCGGGAACTCATATCCCCTTTGCGGACCCCGGGGAGGGCGATCTGCTCCCCCTCCTCGCTATCCACCAGCGCCATGTTTCCCCACTCCGTCATCTTGCGCCGGTCCAGGAACTCCTACAGGACGAAGAAATATTGAAGGTCAAGTGAAGGTCATGATATCAGAAAGCAATATGATCGTCTTCTGCCTCAAAGCAAACATGATGTTAAGTGGAAGTGAGAGAGAGTAACTAATATCTTTACATAAGATTCAGACCCACAATCATAGGTTTCTGGCGTGCCCAAGGGACATAACTCTGCACAGCAAATTGCAGCACCTTAGCGACTGGACCATCTGTGTCCCCTCATCAAGAAGAAATGATCAGAGACTGAGAATGACATTGGGTCCTGCCTAGACCAAGTAGTAGGAATGACTCAGTAATAGGTCATGAATATTGATCGAAGGATCCATGTACCAGGCCATCCATGTCCCCATGTTCCCTACCTCCATTCCATCAAAGGACATGTTGCAGGAGATCTCGAACTTCTTCATCAGAAGGCGGTCCGGGACGGAATAGATGCAGACGAACTTTGACCTCCCTGCAGCCAGGAGACAATCGCCATCCGCACTGTAGCAGATCGTTGTGAAGGCCCTGAAATAATCAGTGGCGATGGCTATATTCGCTCTAAGGAACTGGTGAAAAAGATGCAATTATGTTTAATGTGTTAGCTCCACTCTTCCATCCTCCTCACCCGACCTGTGTAGTTGGACTTCAATGTGCCATAATTCACATTCCATAGGTCTAGCTGGTATCAATAACTGATTATCGATAATTATATATGACATCATAATGCCACAGAGGAAGGGGAGACAATTCTTATTCTTATGGGATTTCACAAGACAGTGACTGACTAACTCGGGAGTTTGATTTCACACCCTCATCACACCCAAAACTTGGTGTGGCATGGTGTGGCGTGGCGTGGCGTGGTGTGGCGTGGTGTGGTGTGGGTGATAGCGTCAATGAGAGAGTGAGTGAGTGAGTGACTCGTCTTACACTGGCATTACCCTAGTTTTAGCATTGTTAACATCACAGTGCAGGTCACCAAGAAAAGGTTGGCAATTATACCTGGATCTACAGCATGATGGGTTAACATCTTAATCACAAAACAAAGGTCTCTCTCCCCTGCAGCAACTCAGTAGCATCACAGAGGATCAGAGAAAGGTCATAGCAAACTGTACCAAGTCAGGAGAATCAAACCTACAGGTCCTGTACAACATAGGAGTGACAACGGACTCTGTTTGGCCACCTGACCCTCCCTCAACACACATATGTACATAGAACCACAGGAGTCCGTATCTAAAAATAGACGCCCTCATGCATATTCATGACCATCTCCACACGCGAGCCCGAAGGAGATGGTCATGAATATGCATGAGGGCGTCTATTTTTAGATACGGACTCCTGTGATAGCACACACAAACAGGTAGCAGGAAAATGTCACTATAAAACAGAAACTTTCTTTAACATAACACATATTTCTTCTTAAATGGTGTTCCAATTTCATTATGTAAAGATATTTAAATCGTTGAACAGAATTGTCAACAACAATAGGATTCTCAGTAAACTATTTTGGCTATACATAAGAAAAAGTGTAAGGATTCACATATAACATGTTTTGATATTATACAGAAACCTTTACCCAAACTCAACACTCTATCTTGTATTTTAGTTAACTGTGAAGAGCTTTGGCCACGGATAAATCTTGCTACAATCTTGAACCAGTTGCTAAACTCACTTTCCAGCTGCTGACTTTTTAGCTGTTATTTTGTCCGTCGCCTTCCTCGAGTACCCGACATCGTGCTTGCCCTCGATGGTGCCGACCTGGGTCCCTGTGTCCGGACTCCACAGAGTGATGGTGGCATCCAGGCTGGCAACAGCCAACTCACTGCCGTCAGGGCGGAACGCTACAGCCAGGGCTGGAGACAGAAGGACACGATGAGAACACAGGGATACTATGTGACAGCCAACTCACTGCCGTCGGGGCGGAATGCTACAGCCAGGGCTGGAGACAGAAGGACATGATGATAACACAGGGATACTATGTGACAGCCAACTCACTGCCGTCAGGGCGGAACGCTACAGCCAGGGCTGGAGACAGAAGGACATGATGATAACACAGGGATACTATGTGACAGCCAACTCACTGCCGTCAGGGCGGAACGCTACAGCCAGGGCTGGAGACAGAAGGACATGATGATAACACAGGGATACTATGTGACAGCCAACTCACTGCCGTCAGGGCGGAACGCTACAGCCAGGGCTGGAGACAGAAGGACACGATGAGCACGTAGGAACAGTCTGTGACATCACATTACTTGTAATACACCAGAAACTATTGTCATGCTACTATTCGGGGTAGTATATATGTTCCTGCATATACACGGAACGGTTCACAGCTGTGATGTATTTCTTGTAGTTCTCATAATGAACTATCTCCGTGTCTATAGCACAAAGACGATACGATCCTGGGTTTATTCTTCCATCATGGCGGCAGTACATCGTCGGCGCTGTCATCAGCTACGTCTTAGCGCGAGCTAGCTGGTACTATTTACAATAGCACTAATCACAATGTCTCATACAGACACACAGTGAAAATGCATAATGTTTTCAAGTATCAGACATCATGTGACTTTATGCTCAAGTCCATCTCAAAACACATCTGATATGATTCGAAACCCTATCGACGACATTGTTGTGTTTTATTACCTCATGCCTAAATACCCAGAACAACTTACTTTGATCTTTATGGCCATTTTGCCAAATACCAAAAAACTTTGATGATGTGTTTTCAAAGTGTTTGAGTACATACTTGACAACCTCACTTACCATCTGTGGGCAGTCCATAGGATTCCTTGGCGGACTTGTTCTCAAACACATCCCATACTTTGATAGTTTTGTCCCATGATGCACTGGCCAAGATGGCTCTTGCTGGACTGAAACTGAGGCTGCTGATTGGTCCTTCATGCCCTGTGAGTATCTGCAACACATCCATGTACCGGTAATATACTCCGTATATCCAACAGCACATCATAGTCTGGCAATGGAACACTGGAAACATGTCTATACCTGTCCATTTTTACCAGAAATGAAAGCTGTTAAACCAAAGAAAATGTGCCCAATTTGTTGGGACGACATACACTACTGAAAAGAAGTTAAAGATTTTTTCATCTGACTAAAGTCTATTCATAATGGCTATTACAACACACAGAACCAATTGTGGTGGGGTAGCTTTGTGGTTAAAGACCCGGGTTTAATTCTCCTCTTGGGTACAATCATTGTACTACAATGTGTGAAACCCATTTCTGTTTTCCCTGTTATTTTGCTGGAATATTGCTAAAAGTGGCATAAAACCATACTCACTCACTCACACACTCCAATTGTGAGTGTTCTTTAACTTGTTTTGAGTAGTGTATTTGAATCAGATCATTCAAGCAATGTTTCAGCCAACTAATATTCCTAATTATCAACATCTATCAATTACTAACATCCCAAAATAAAAGCGGACCCTTACTTTTATTCCATGCATGACACTAAGCAGAGACTAGATGTTAGCTCTATGCATCCCTGTTTCATGTCAAACTGGGGCCTTTCCAGGAGCAAGTTTTCAGGATCTTTTTCCATGAGGGAGAAAGGCCCAAGGAATCACACTGGTCCATATTATCCAGCAATAGTCAGGGATCAATCGATTCGTGCCTTTATTTTCAAATTAATGAGCATCCATGCTCATAGCTGCATACAGGCTGTCAGTTTACACATGGAGGTAAGATAAATGTTTCGACACAGCAGACATGGACATATGAAGGATGCATTAACATCTTACTGCGGCAAGGGAGTTAACAGACTGTAAAAGTCCTGTCTCAACTCTTGCCGAACTACGCTGGAAATTCCAGGCTCGATGGTAGTGCCACCAGAGGCTATTACAACTAACGTCCCTTCTATGACCCTCCTATTGACCAATCAGATTTCACCTCTCATATCACTTGCATTTGCCCCAAACAGCGCCCAGTGAAGACGATCTGACCGATATATAAGATCTTTCTCATAATAAAATAGTGGTTTGCATCGCTTAACAAAAAAGACAGGGTTGATATGAGTCATTTGATCCCCCTTGCCCTCGCATCAGATGTCTAGCTCAATAGGGTAACAAACCTCCAGCAATCTGCCAGTCTGCATGGACCACACAAATATCTCGAACACGTCGACTCCGCCGGCACACACCACTTCCCCACTGTTGTCGGTCGCTAGACAAGAGAACTGCACAGGACGTGGTGATGTGAATGTCTTGAAGTTGCGATATCTAAATATAGACAAATGACAATGATGACATACACTTCATCATAAAAAAACCTGTCACATGGGATACGGGTGAAGATGGAGAATACGATATGACGGAGTCAGCCTTGGACCACACGTCTGTCACATCCAGGGGAGATTGATTGATTGACTGACATATGCAACTGCATTTAATTTTGACTTCTTGAAAGTACTCGTGACCCACCTGGCGAGGTCGAAGGCTCGGACGGTGCCGTCGAGGGATGCTGACAAGACCACCTTGCCGTTCTGGTTGAATGTGACCCCGGTGATTCCCCCGAGGTGCTCGTTGAAGGTCACAAAACAGAAGCCACTGCCGGTGTTCCAAACCTTCACCTTAACAATCAGGAACAGTCAATGTCACACAGGGTTCATGTGTACACTACATAGTAACTATATTTGCTTAACATGACGTCACAATCAAAACACATTACTAATCTCTCTGCCCCTCTAACTCTCTGCCCCTCTAACTCTACTCGGGGCGGTTTGGTAGCCTAGTGGTTAAAGCGTTAGCTCGTCACGCTGAAGACCCGGTTCGATTCCTGACATGGGTACTATGTGTGAAGCCCATTTCTGGTGTCCCCCGCCATGATATTGCTGGAATATTGCTAAAAGCGGCGTAAAACCATACACTCACTCACTCTAACTCTACATTTACACACAGGGTAGTAGTGTTTGCTGTTTCTAAGTTGAAAATCTGGAAGAATGATTTTGTATGATAAATAGAATCTCACCCTCTCGTCTTTTGATACAAAAAATATCCACTCGTGTTGATATATTTGATATTAAAGAGCCTTTGGCGAGATTCTCCATAATGCCTTAGTCAATGAACATGTCTCAAGACAGCAACAGCTTGTAGTTACAAAGCAGACAAAATTTAGGGATAACACTTCTTTATTTACTGTAAAGGCAACATTTCAGAAAAGATCTTTATACCGTGTTCAAGGAAGGTATGATTGACAACGGTATAAGGATCAGTACCGAAACGTCACCTTTAAAGAAAGAAGTAAATTGTGTCTACTTTGTCATCCATCAACTTCTAAGTCATGCCTTTTAAACAATTCAGCTTGTAGCTAAATGAGTTTTGTGTGCGTCTGCATGTGCATGTGCATGTACAGATGCTATACCTTCGCATCATCCCCTCCTGTTGCGATGTGTTGTCCATCGGGGGAGTATGCGAGACACTCCATGTTGTTGAAGTGACCCTGTTGTTTCAGGACGTATGTCTCACTCTGCCACTCCCACACCAGCAACTGCCCCAAACCAGAACACGCCAGCGCAATCCAGTCACCACTGGAGTTTATTGATATGGAGGCAATACTTTGGTCAGAAATACTGGAACAAAAAGCAAAATATGACAGCATAGTAACCAATGACTATCATTAATAGCAAAAGCAAATATCAACCTGTGCATATTGAAGGAATTGTTTTTATCCAACAGGAGTGACAGGAAGCTTATATGGTATCAATTAACCTACCAAGAAGCCCAGCTTTCATCTGACAATTCAATAATTTCATTCTGAAATCAAGCAAAATCTTTCTTTTCCTTGTTTTTTTCTGGGCCAAGAGGGTCTTAAAATTCCAGTTCCTTCCCCAGAAAATACAACTGCGTGTTCCAGTGTGGTTTAACGACACTTCTAGCAGTACAGCCATATAGCAATGGGAGACACCAAGAAAAGGATTCACACATTGTACCCATGTGGGAATCAAACCTGGGACGTTGATGTGATGAGCCAGTACCTCAACCACTCGGCTACCCTGTCTCTCCCAACCTCAGACAAGCATGGAGTACTGTATACATATTAAGTTGCACAATACCTGTAAGGTGTGGATGAAACGCCTCACTCAGCAATATTCCGGCTATATGACGATGGTCTGTAAATAATCAAGTCTGGACCAGACAATCCAGTGACTGACATCATGAGCATCGGCCCATAACATTGAGAACGATGACATGCATCAACCAAGTCTGACCTCCCGATCCCATTAGCCGCCTCTTACAAGAAGTATAGTCGCCTTTTACGGCAAGCATGGGTTGCTAAAGACCTATTCTACTCCGTATGTTCACGGGTAAGAAGGGATCTAGTGTGACGTACTTGAGAGAGTGAATCATGCTGAACTCTGGCATTTCGTGGAGGAAGAATGATCCGTCTTGGAAACCAGTGACCAGGACGCCAGTATCTGGGTGAAACGCAGCAGACGTCAGTTTCGTCATGGAGCCGTCACTCTTCTGCTGGTCCTTGATGATGTGTCTGTATACAGGGTGAGAAATTGGGTTGAATTCATAGACTTGGTCACAGCATAATTTAAATAGGTCATGGTATAGTATGGTTTTACGCTGCTATTAGCAATATTCCAGCAATATCAGGGGACACCAGATATGGGCTTCCCACATTGTACCCATGTGGGGAATAGAACCCGGGTCTTCGTGATGAGCAAATGCTTTAACCACTAGGCTATCCCACTGCCCCCATGGTATGGTGAGTGTTGTTTAACACCATCGTCAGCAATATTTCAGCCACTGCCTTGGCCAAGCAAACGTGCAGGAGTCTATTTCAGTAGGCAATATGAGGTCAAGGAACCTATTCAGACCAATTGGGTTGTCGTAGTGCTAAACATGAAGGACTAGAATTTGACATGTGTAATGTAAGTTATCGGTGTTCCAAGCTGAATGGTATTATACTCCTGGCGACAAGAATTAGCGGAATGTACACTAACAGCTCATCAAATCCCATACACCCCAGAATAGAATAATATCTTACAGATGGCCATAAAGATGTGGAGAGGTAGGTGAAAGATGATAGATGGTGAGGTGAGGTGAGGTGAGGTGAGGTGAGGTGAGGTGAGGTGAGGTGAGGTGAGGCGAGGCGAGGCGATGAGAGGCGATGCGATGCGAGGCGTGGCGAGGTGAGGTGAAATGGAATTTAACGTCGCATTCAAGATAATTGCACTTGCATAGTGACATGCATGCACCTGTGTATGTGTGTGGCTGCTTATACTAGTCCGGAATAATGCCAATTTTATAGTCCTAGTCCAATGAGATACCATGCCGCAGTTATGAATACCCTACTCAGTATACTGACTCCAAGCTGACCAGTCCTTGTTTTAGCCCCTTAATGCCGAGCACCAGGCAAGGTAACAACAAGTATCATCTTTTAACGTCTTTTATTATGATGCGGCTGGTGGTCCTTCCACTCTCCGGGCAGACACTACTTTATGTTGAAAATAAAGGAGCGAGTGAGTGAGTGAGTCTTTTATGCCGCTTTTTGCAATATTCCATCAATATCATGGCGCGGGGACACCAGAAATGGGCTTCACACATTGTACTAAGGTGGGAAATCAAACCCAGGTCTCGACATTACAAGTGAACGCTTCAACCAATAGGCTACCCCATTGAAAATGAAAATGCAGGTGAAGGTGTAGAAGAAGGTGAAGGTGAATCTACATGACCTTCATTACTCCAAAAAACCTATCGATATCAAAACATACTTTGCAAGATGTCGGTAGTGGATTTTCTTCTTTACTCGAGCTTCTGCTTTCTCTTGTAGTCTCTTGTATTCTGTAAACATTCCATGCATATTCTGACAACATGTTAGGCTTAAAAAATCAAATAAATTTGTTCTCAAGCAATGACTTTTGAAAATATAGTGCGGGCGGGCAGTGGCTTTTTGTGTTCTTGGCTTGTTCAAACTAGTATGTAACCAAATTAACAGTTGTGTATCATCAACCTGGGAAAGGGCCTCCCTACATAAACAAGCATACAATCTGCTATTGCCACCATGACCATAACACAAGATGCGCAGTAAAGCAGTAAAGCAATGCGCATGTACAAGGAAGTAACTGCATGCTATATTTGATCGCATGTTTTTAAGTATTAGGATGTTTTAATGTTTTTTGAAAATGGAAATAAAAACAAAACTGTGACGGACTTCATGATGACGTGGGCAGTGCTTGATAACCAGGACTATTATTTTTTTTATGCCTTAACAATCACAATGCAATCACAACTCTAGTTGTTTGACATAATCCTGACAGTAGGTGTATTACAGCTATGAAAGTTTCAGCTAAGTTTTTGTGACTTTCAATGTCAACCAATCATATGCCAGAGTAAATAGGAGGTATATCAAGTTTAACATCTGTCATGAGTACATGGTTGCGAGATCCAATTGTGGCAGTGGAAGCTGTCAAATTTGAGCAAACACATTAATCATTATCCTAAACAAAACAGATACCAGTACCTGCAATGTATGAGGCATGGCACCGGGTCAATGAATTGAGACTTTTCCAAACCCTTCATATAAGAAAACTTGGCCAATATCAGTTTGTTTGTTTGTTGTTTAACACCGCACTCAGCAATATTCCAGCTATATGACGGCAGTCTGTAAAATAATCGAGTCTGGACCAGACAATCCAGTGATTGACAACATGAGCATTGATCCACGCAATTGGGATCAATGACATGCATCAACCAAGTCAGTGAGCCTGACCACCCAATCCCGTTAGTCGCCTCTTATGACAAGCATAGTCGCCTTTTACGGCAAGCATGGGTTGCTGAAGACCTATTCTACCCCGGATCTTCACAGGCCTAATATCAGTTTGAGGTAGGGTTGTAAAGACATACAAATAGAAAACATTGCTCAAGTTGATATCGCGAGGCCTGTGATCACATTCAGAATAATATACAAGTGAAACTGGAGATGATCCTACTTAGCAGCTGCTCCTTCCCACCATCTCCTGGTTCTTCTTCAGGTTCATCTAGTTCATCTCCAGAGTGCTCTGTGTCCATCACTTCTGGCACGTACGGCTCGAGGCCATCCGGTTCTGTGTCACACTTCCACACAACTAGGAGGCCATTTTGACCCAGTGAGTACAACTGGGAGAGTTCAGGAAAGAAACAGTAGAAGCAAAACATTTCATAGGTGTACGAAAAATACCTAGCTAACTGCGCAGTCGGCGCTTTGGTGAAACCTATGTGCTCGGGTATGGTGCTGACAAACCTAGAAGTATTATCGTGGCGAACAGGGATTTGAACCAACAATCATGGGATTCTGGCATGCCCAAGGGATGCAACTCTGCACAGTGAATTGCGGTGCCTTATACAGATGGGCCACCCTACCCAGAGGTCATATCAAATAACATAGCTAACACTAATTTAATCAGTGGCACTGACCAATGCTGTCAGGGTACAAAATGTCCTACAGTTAGCAAACCCAATCACCATTTTTGTTTGTTTGTTTGTTGTTTAACGCCGTACTCAGAAATATGGCAGCTGTATGTCAGCGGTCTGTGAACAATCGAGTCTGGACCAGACAATCCAGTGATTGATATCATGAACATTGATCCATGCAATTGGGATACGATGACTTGCAGCAACCAAGGTAATGGGTGTCTTTTTTTAATCCACCAGGTACCCATTTCTTCATCTCCCTGTGCGGGGTGGTTGGGAAGCCTAGTGGTTAAAGCGGTAGCTCGTCACGCCGAAAACCTGGGTTCGATTCCCGACATGGGTACAATGTGTGAAGCCCATTTCTGGTGTCCCCCGCCGGGATATTGCTGGAATATTGCTAAAAGCGGCGTAAAACCATACTCACTCACTCACCAGCCAAGGCCGGCAGGCAGGCAATTATTTTGGACGCTGACCTGTTGAACTTAGAATTCGGCCAAAGTTTTACTACAATGTACAACATTGCAACTTTCACTGTATGACATAGGATACGTCCAGTGAGTTTTTCCCAAAGAAGGCGTTGACAATGATGTCCGTATGTCCGCCCATGGAATACATGACCAGGTTGGAGAATCTCTCCACTCCGAAGACCCGTGTGTTCATGTCCTTACATCCCGCACACAGCACTCTGGAACACAAGGCACCATAACATGTTATCTTACGTCACATGCAAAATACACGAATTTCATTGGATGACATTTTGATCAAATTCCATATATCCTGCTAAAACTGGAGGGAGATAGCCTGTAGTCATGGCAACAGACATTTTACCAATCTCTGCAATTTAAGATCCACAGATCTTCAGGGGTCAGCTCTGAAGTATGGGGTACTGAAGCGGATTTAATCTGAATCCCATCAGGACCAGAAATTCAAATTAGTATGTAAAATACAAACGATTAACAAAATAATTACATAAGCAAAACACAAACACACTAAATGTAATCTTTTAAAATGTTGGAATGTACCATGATATTTGCTTACAATTTTGTTATCAGCAATAACCATATACTATATTTCATCATGGCACACAATAACGTCTGCTGGCCTACCGCGAGTCTGAGCTCCAGGCGATACAGACATTGTCATCATATGCACCGAAGAATGTTCTGTAGAAGACGAAGGGGTTGAACTCCCGTGTCTTCCCGGGGGCGTGGAACACCAAGATGACGCTGTCCTTCGTCACAGCAAACTTCCTGGAAGCAGGAGGAATGTCAATAGTTGGCTGTAACCCTCCACGTTGCACAAAGACAAAAACACATCAAAATAACTGATTGTATTTATTTGTTTCTTGTTCAACGCCACACTCAGCAATATTCCAGCTATATGCAAATGATCAAGTCTGGACAAGACAATCCAGTGACTGACGTCATGAGTATCAATCTACGCAACCGGCATGCATCAACCAAGTCAGAAAGGTCGTCCACCTGAACCTGTTAGTCGCCTGTTACGAGAAGCATTGGTTGCAATCAGCAATATTACAGCCACAGCCAATCCTGGACCAGACTACCAGTGGTTGATAGCATGAGCAAGGATCCACATGTTCTGGAAACATCTCAGTGACATGTCAGCCAGCTCACATGTCATGACAACACAATCCACAGTTCTAGAGACCAAATTATCCTGCACTCGGATTCTAACGGGGACATGTAGGGATAAGACAGGGTAATCACATGACATTAGTGTTCCACAATCTTGGAATACATCACGGTAAACACAAATGTTAAACTAGTATCTAAAATAAGTAAAACAAAACATAACTTGAATATGAAAACAGCGTTATCACTATCCCAGCGATGGGGCACATTAGAATTATGTTTGTTCATATAGTAATGAATATAAACTATAAAAAAAGAATCCTGTAAGGCCTTAAGAAGAGACTCGCACTTGGGCCGCTTTATCACATCAGAAAAAATGAACAAGTGAAATTTATACACACAATAGGCCCCTTATCAATACTCTTGATCAGTATCTTTTAGATAAGCTAACTTCAGTAGTTTCTGAAAAAAATTGTCCCCATTGCAGACTCTATGCACTTTGTAGAGTACCATGGGCTGTAACTGTGTGTGCTCAACACCTATAGACATGTAGCAAGGGAAGTAACTCTAGGAAAATAAATGTACTTAATTTTCTTGACAAGTATCTCATAGCTAAGCATGCAAAGTTTCATTCATGTAACATTGGTACTTTCTGAGAAAACTTGCCCCCATTGCAGACACTATGCATTTATAAAGCATGGCACAAAGACAATAACTCTGTAAATAAAATAATTTACGGGATCAAATTTTTATACTGTCTTGACAAGTATCTCTTAAATAATCACACAAACGTTCATTCATGTAATTTCAGTAGTTATTGAGAAAACTTGTCCCTATTTCATGCACTCTGCACTAAGTTGAAAAGCACAGAGCAAGGGTCCTAACTCTGCAGACAATAAATTTAAGACACCAATGTTCGAACTCATTTAGAATCATGACCAGTAATATCAGTGTGTAAAATTTCAAACACTTGAGAAAATTTGTCCTCTTTGAGAAGTGGACAGACGGACGGATGTATGGATGGACAGACGGACTCCGTTCAATAACTCTGTAAATAAAATAATTTACGGGACCAATTTTTGTACTGTCTTGACAAGTATCTCTTAAATAATCACACAAACTTTCATTCATGTAATTTCAGTAGTTATTGAGAAAATTTGTCCCTATTTCATGCACTCTGCACTAAGTTGAAAAGCACAGAGCAAGGATCCTAACTCTGCAGACAATAAATTTAAGACACCAATGTTCGAACTCATTTAGAATCATGACCAGTAATATCAGTGTGTAAAATTTCAAACACTTGAGAAAATTTGTCCTCTTTGAGAAGTGGACAGACGGACGGATGTATGGATGGACAGACGGACTCCGTTCCTATATCCCCGCCCCACTTCATGGTAGTGCTGTGAACTACATGTATTCACAACTCCAGACGTGCTTACTTTCCATCAGGGCTGAAGCTCACATCATACACGTGCTTATGGAAGTGAAACGTGGCAAGCACTGAACGGCTGACTAGACTGCACAGGCTTGCCTCCCCTTCTGCAAAACAGAATTAAAATTTCTCAGGGGTAAGGAATGCATCTGCATCAAATTAACTGACATATCGCATGCAGTCAGTGATGCTTTATGAAGTTAGCATCAAGCATGTTACAAAACACCAGTATATCAAGTCATATGTTGAATACTTCTAACACATGCTGACTAAAGAGAAAAACATTCATTAGTTTCTTTACACTGACATCTGCTGATCTTATAGTGCTAGCCTACTGAGATACCATGCTGCAGTTTAACATGAATACCCCACTCAGACAGAGTATACTGACTCCGAGCCGACCAGTCCTTGTATTAGTCCCTTAACGCAGAGCGCCTGGCAGGGTAAGAACAAATGCTATCTTTTAACGTCTTTTGGTATGACACGGCCTGGATCAAAGCTTCTCAGGCGAAGGCTCTACCACTAGACCATGGAGGCATTATATAAAGAACAAAGACTTTTACACAGTTGGTGCCTTTCATATATACTCGCCAAACAATTTAGGGAACACTGATATTTTGTAGCACTGTTCATTCGATTCCTTTTAAATTTGGTAAATGGCCTCCTGATCGGCGGCTAACATACTGATATTGAAGACTACCCTTACTCAAGTGACTTCATGACCAGAACAAAGAATTTTGTAGAATTTTCCTATTCGGAATATTCTATAAGTAATACGTTACCACTGTTATACCGAGGCTGTTGTCTCCCACAACTGCTGCTATAGCGAAATCTACCACAGAGATCTCAATTACCTCATGCAGCACGTGCGTAGCCACCTAGCTGCCATGTGACACCCTTCACTCTTGTCTCCTGCGAGAGCAAGTGCTCGGGGGACGGACGGGCGGGCAGCAGCCCAGTGGTAACGTATTACTTATAGAATATTCCGAATAGGAAAATTCTACAAATTACATTAAGTAATACGTTACCACTGTTATACCGAGGCTGACTACCACAGTAGGCGGTGGGGAGCACCTACAACCCGAATCCTGACTGCTAGCGTTCCTTCCGACCAGCGGAAGTAAACACCAAGGCGGAAGCACTCGATGCGCATGCACCTAGCTAGGCGTTACCCTATAGGAATACCAAAGCACTGTCAAGCGCATACCGTAAGGCTCAATCGTCAATGCCAAAACGATTGGTGACTCCAAACGGCCCCACTGGATAGGTATTTCATCGCCGCAGCGGATGAGAACACTGTATCCGCGTGAGCTAAATCTTAGATCAGGTTAAACAGTCGAAAAGAGGGAAATTAATTTCCTTCAGACCGTATATCCCAGAGCAAGCCTACTTAAAGTATGCATTAGGCGCGTGACCTAATTCCAGTATTCGTAAGCATGTATCGCAAGGTTGGAATACACGACAGACAATTAAATGCATAATTGTCAAAATACAAATAAGGACAAAACACACAAAAAGCCGCCTCACCTGTGGTGTGAGTGCGCTGGTTTGCAGGACCCCCACTCCTGTACCCACGGCGTGGGAACATTGGAGACGACCCAGATTGACCACCGTGCAAGGACTGACGACTGCGGAGTTTGGAATTGCGCTGGACACACCCCCTAGATGACCGCTTGTGCCGCGATCAGCGGCCCAAGACGGTGCACCCCCTCCACGTCTTCATCAGAAACCTTTCTGAGGTAATGATTGGCAAAAACCGAGTCAGAACGCCAGTAACAACCTCGTAATATTCTGTGAACAGAGATATTCGAGTGTAGGGCAAATGTTGCCGCTAGCGCCCTGATCTCGTGCGGGTTTGACCCCGCTACCGGTAACCCCCGAGACCGGTACGCCAGATTGATGACAGAACGAAGCCACAACGCAATCGAGTTGCGAGTTATGTCAACCGTGCGATTAGGGTTACACGATATGAACAGACGGTCACGCCCTTGTCTACGTTCATTCGAAGCCTTAAGATAATACTTAAGGGCCCTAACCGGACACAGCGCTCTGTCCTCAGTATCAGCAGGATGTAAGATTTCTTTGAGGGATCTTACAGTGAATTCTCTCTCCGTTTGCCCGACTCTCTGATTCTTGGCGACGAAGCCCATGAGCAGGCCCAGGCGGACCGCTCCTTCGTCACCCCTATCGAATCGTACCTTGGCGACATCGAGTGCATGAATTTCGGATACACGTGCCGCCGTGGCAAAGGAGAGGAGAAATGCTGTTTTCCAAGTCACATGCCGGAACGAAGCACTATGCAAGGGTTCATACGGAGCTTCCGTGAGTGATTGCAACACTAGGGAAAGATCCCAGGCCGGTGCCCGAAGGCGGCCCTTCTTAAGATCGTGCTGTTTGAAACCCTTGATAATACCCCGTATCACCGGCTCTTTGGAGAGACTGGTACCCATAGCAACGTCCCGTACCGTAGCAACGGACGAGACATAGTTGGCAATGGAACCCCCGGAGAGTTTCCGGGTCTCTCGCAAGTGAGACATGAAACGAGCAATATCCTGCACAGATACCTTATCTGGCGAATGAATGTGATGTTTACAACACCACTTCGTGAAAATAACCCAACGTGCATTATACACCTTCTGGGTAGAATCACGATGCATACTAACGTATGCCCGAGACGCCCGGCGAGAAAAACCTTTACTCCTCAGACGCTCGGTGACAACATCCACGCGTGCAGATTGAACTGCCCTGCGTTTGGATGAAGCTGACGGGTGTGAGGGTGGATCAAGAGATCCGGTCTCACAGGCAGTGGGAGTGGCGACTGCGTGACCTGGGTCAGCAAGTCGGGGTACCACGATCTGTTCGGCCACATGGGCGCGATCAGTAACATTCGACAGCGAACTCCTCGAAGCCGGCTTAGAATGTGTGGTATCAACGCTGTCGGCGGGTAAGCATAAGCGTCCAAGCCCGTCCAGTCTAACGCGAGAGCATCGTGATCGATGGCCCTCGGGTCCGGGACTGGTGATACAAACAACGGGAGTTGATTGTTGAACCGTGTTGCGAACAGGTCGACCATCGGACGACCCAAACGTTCGCACAGCCACTGAAACACCACTGGGTTCAGCATCCACTCTGTGGGGCTCGGATCCTGAGGCCTCGATAGAGCATCGGCCAGTACGTTCCGCACACCTGGGATGTGACGGGCGCGTATCTGGCACGGGACACTGTCCACCAGAGCGTAAAACTCGAACGTGAGATCGAGTAGCGAGTGACTGTGGGTTCCCCCCAGTTTGTTCACATAGGACACTACCGTCGTGTTGTCGGTCGCCAGCATGAGCCGGGCGTCGACGAGACGATGCTTCCAGTGATTGACTGCGTTGATCACTGCCTTGAACTCGAGACAATTGATGTGAAGACCTAGTTCGTCTACGCACCACAGCCCCGAGCTCACCTCCCCCTCTAGATGGGCGCCCCAGCCCACTAGAGAGGCGTCTGTATACAGGTTCAACGTGGCCCGGTAGGGCCGCATAGAGACTCCTGATAAGACATTGTAAGGGAGCGTCCACCACTCCAGATGCGGTCGGAGCCGATCCGGGAGGGCGACGGTCGCACTGTTCACCTCCGTTGCTAACAACTGGATTAAAAACCGTTGCAGCGGGCGGAGTTGGAGACGACCCCGTTCGGTGCAGTCCTGGGCTGATACAAGTAGCCCTAACAGCTGTTCCCAAAAGTGAACAGTCTGTTGCACCGCTAAGACTTTGGCAATCATCGCCTGAATTTTGTGCCACCGGTCTGGGGGGACAAATAGGCGATGGGACACCGTGTTGAACCGACCTCCGATGAACTGCAAGTTCTGAGAAGGGGTTAACTCGCTCTTGGGGAGATTGACAATCCACCCCAATTGCTCCAAGAGCCGACGTGCGAAAACGAGATGGCGTGACAGGGTGTCCGACATTCGATTTGCTACTAGCGAGTCGTCCAGGTACGCGAAGTACCGGACACCCCTCCGGTGGAGGAACCCCACTATGGGGGTGGTTAACCGGGTGAACAGCCAGGGAGCGGATGAAAGACCGAATGGGAGTACAACCCACTCGTAGTGCCTGCCTTGAAAGACAAACCTGAGATACTTCTGATGATCCGAGTGAATCGGAACATGCAGATAAGCATCCTTCAGGTCGATCGAAGCTAGCCAGTCGGCCGGCATGATCAGTGCTTTCAGGTCCGTCAAGCTCAACATTCTGAACTTGGGCGGTTTGCGCAGGTAGAACTCGTTGAACGATTTCAAGTTGTGAATCATTCTGAGTTCGGCACTGTCCTTCTTGGGAACGAGAAATATCCTGGAGTAAAACCCCGGTGTTATTTCTGGTAGAGCTAACTCCCGAACTGCCCTCTTCTCCACCAACCTGCCGATGGCATCGGCGAGGAAGGGAAGATCGGTTTCCGAATAGAAACCTGCCGACGGGGCAACGGTGAGCGGCGGATTCGCTATGAGATCGAGCCGATAGCCGTACCGAATCGTGTTGACCACCCACGGGTCGTCGAACACTTGTTCCCAATTCTCCCAGTAAGTCTGGAGTCTGGCTCCCACTGGGGAAAGAGAGGGGGGCCGGACGGGCTGCGGCAGGCGCAACTGTCCAGGGCCAAGTGACTCGGGTTCGCCTACGGGCCAACCGAAGTTGGCGCTGTCGGCATACGAACCCCTCCAATGAGAGTCACCTGGAGGGGCCCTTGCCGTCCTTAGACGACTTGGGCTTCCCCCAGTTCCCCTTCTTCCCGCGAAAGGGCTGCTGAGAACCCTTACCGGAGCCCTCAGAGCGGGGCTTCTTCCCGGAGGAAGAAGGACCCGACCCCTTAGGCCTGCCGGACGCAGCATCCTGGGGCGCGCTCCGCTTCGGAGCGGCACCCAGGCGCCTATGCAAGGACCCCACAAGATCCAGTGTGTGCCGAGAGGCCTCGGCAGACACAGCGGCCTGTTGTTCCTTCAGAACCCCAGGGATCTTGTTATTAAACAGGGTCCGAGCAGACCAAGGCTGCGAAAGGAGCACCTCCTGATTAGCAGCGTCCAACCCTGAAGCAACCAGATACGACTGGCGCCGAAGAAAATGGCACGTGCCGGAAACAAAGGCCGAAGCCCCGGCAACGTACTCCAGGGAAGCATTCAAACCGAGCAAGCAGTTGTAAATGCGCTGGTCTCGGTCCGTGGGAGAACCTTCGACCAGACTGGCCGCTGCAGCCAGGTATGTGTCTCCGTGAGACATTGCCAGCATGGAGTGTCGAGCGAGGGTGTCCAGCTGTTGCAAGGTACCTTGTGGTACCGTGGCAACCGGTGGGGCACGGACCCCCAAACGCTCCACATGGGCTTCCGCAGAAGGACCAGCCTCGGGAAAGGCAAGGTCATGTACTGGGAAAGACCCTTTTCTCCACGACGGGGGAGGTAACGGGAGACCCCGACCGGAGGCAGCCGTGAAGGCCTTCTCCAAAGAAGGCTTAATCCCGCGCAGCAAGGTTGATGCCGGGAAAGCCTTGTCGGACGTCTCGTCGTATACCTCGGAGGAACCCACGGAACCGTGGATTCCCCGCGGTATCGGCAGGGGCTTTGGCATGTCCTCGAAGAGGTCATACACCATGGCAACGCGGTCCTTAACCGATAGCGGAAGCAACGGTTCGGGGGAAGGACCGGTAACCACGGCAGCCGCCGCCGTACCGGTGGACCCCGCGTCCGAACCCGCGGCCACCGAAGAGGCCGGGGACGGAACAGCCAGCGGCCTATCTTGCGATAAGGCCGCCAGCTTGGAGTCCACAAGTTTCGACAATAATGCGGCGACGGAAGCCCCAGACAGCCCGAGGGCCGCAAGGGGATCCGCCGCAGCCGAGGAGGTGGTACCCGCACGGGGACCCCGACCGGACGAACCGGCCACCACAGGGGTGGAGACGGACTGTACGTACAGCCGGTACCGCTCAAACTCCGCAGGCCCCAGACCTTCGCACAGGGTACACCGGGTGTCCCCGCAAGGAACCCTGCACCGCGGGCAACGATCGTGGGGATCCCGGGATGACAAAAACTTTCTGCACACCCCACAACTCCGAGGAGCAGGGGTAGAGGGGGTGGATACTGGGGACATATCCATGTCAGACATTGTTTGCTATAAACAAAGAACAAAACATGGTTACAACGCACGCACCACAACGATTCACAAACGAGCATTTTCACAAGAAAATAAACGAGCAATGTGAACATATAACATACACATATAACTTTTATTAAAGAAATAAGTTATGTTAACCCCCAAAACATACAAGAACAGGGGAAACGTAAAACACAACGTGCATACGCGAACCCCGCAAGTATAGAGAAAAAAGGGCGGGAAAAATTTTCCGTTTGGCGGGAAAATTATAACCAAGCGTAGCTACCGCAACGCCCCATAAAAGCACAGTTTATTAGAGAATAAACTATAATAAATATCACCAAATCTTCCAGGAACGCTTCAGCAGGAGAAAACACGTCTTGCTAAGCAGACGAAGGAGACAAGAGTGAAGGGTGTCACATGGCAGCTAGGTGGCTACGCACGTGCTGCATGAGGTAATTGAGATCTCTGTGGTAGATTTCGCTATAGCAGCAGTTGTGGGAGACAACAGCCTCGGTATAACAGTGGTAACGTATTACTTAATGTAATTGAATCATACTGGACTCATCAACGTTCATTTTGACCAGCACTCATTTTCATGGAAATTTTTGTTGTAATCTCCTCCTCACAGCTGCCGTAAAAATGGAGATCGTGCATTTTCTCACTTATTCTCATGAAGCACGAGCCACAAGGAATTTTTGTGCGAAATTTGGGTTGATAAAGGCAGGTCTCTATGAAACTGCATCACTGTGTTCAACATGCCACAATGTCGACACCTCACGATTGAAGAACGAGCCAGAGCTATTGGGTGGCTAAATGAGAATGTTTCACAGCGGGAAGCTGCTCGAAAGTTAAATGTTAGTCCATCCATCATTTGCAGATTACGTCAGCAATTCCAACAAACACAGACAGTACGTAATAGACCAAGGTCAGGACACCTCGTGTGACAACAGGAAGAGAAGACCGGTACGTCGTTGTTGAAGCGTTCAGGAGGAGAACAGTCACAGCAAACCATCTTCGAAGGCAACTGAGGGCTGCTACAGGAACAAATGTCAGTGACCAAACCATAAGAAACCGTATGAGGGAAAGAAACATCAGACCCCAACATCAAGCCATTAGACCGCTTCTTCTTCCGCATCACAGAGCAGCCAGAGACGAATGGGCACGGCAACACCGACAGTGGACAAGACAACAGTGGTCAGCAGTTCTTTTTTCTGACGAATCTCGGTTCACACTGCAGCATAATGACGGTCGTGTTCTTGTCTACAGACAGTGTGGGGAACGTTTTGCTGACGTCAACGTCCTTGAGCACAATCGTTTTGGTTGTGGTAGTGTCATGGTGTGGGCCGTCTTCTCATTTCATCACAGAACCAATCTGTACGTCATCAACGGGAATTTGAATGCTGTTCACTACAGGGATGAGATTCTGAGACCAATGGTGATTCCTTGTCTTCATCGAATAGGCCCACAGGCGGTTTTCCAGGATGACAATGCTAGACCTCATCGTGCATGCATAGTCACTGACTTTCTGGGACAAAACAATGTTACTCACATGGAATGGCCAGCATATTCTCCTGATATGGCACCCATTGAACACGTATGGGATCTGTTGACGAGACGTGTTCGGGAGAACCACCCTCCACCTCAAGATCTGTGCCAGCTTGCTCAATGGCTGAGTTTGGAGTGGCATGCTATCCCACAGAACACACTACAGACATTAGTGACATCCATGAGGCGTCGCTGTGTTGCATGTGTGGCTGCTGGGGGCAGACACACTTGTTACTGACTTTTCTCTCATGGCCTGGATTTCCAATTCTCACCCGTGACATTATTGACATCAACACTTGTTCATGTTATGAAATGTAGTGGATTGTTCAAGATTCTTTCTTACTGTATACTCGGTCATTATTGAATTTACTACACATGTCTTCATCTTCTGTTCCTTTTTGATATTAAGTGCAAACATATCAGTGTTCCCTAACTTCTTTTGAAGTATATACATGATGAACTTTTGTAACACAAATTGTCCAAACTTACTGCGGATCTTGGTGAGGAGCAGCCTGTATCTAGCACTCAATTACAATGTTTATTGTGAGCTTTGTTATATATATCATGTCCTTCTTTCCGCCCATGTGCAATGAACCGAAAATGACGTTATACTCCAATACATGTCCTTATAATAAATGCAAGAAGGGGCATACAAATTTTTCGAATTCATTTCCTGACTTCCAGAAGTTGATGAGAGATGGTGACATTACCTTCGTCTACCAGGATCATGGTGAAGCCATCTGGGGAGAGAGCGACACACTGGATGTTCAGTCGACATTCTATAGGCAAGGTTTCTGACTTGTTGCTGGAAAAGATTTCAATATCAAGTGTTGAACTGTAATCTGTAACACACAGCTTGAGTTAAAACACATTTTGTTGTCTCCAACCCAATCTTCACCTCAAACTAAAAGTTTATTATAACCCGTGAAGATCCGCTTGCCATAAAAGGTGACTATGCTTGTCCTAAGAGGTGACTATGCTTGTCGTAAGAGGCGACTGCGCTTGTCATAAGAGGCGACTAACGGGATTGGTTGGTCATGCTCACTGACTTGGTTGATGCATGTCATCGTATCACTATTGCTTGGAGTGAGTGAGTGAATACGGTTTGACGTTTCACTTCCTCAGGTCGAACACAGTGACCCTGTTCCCTACATTTACTTAACATCGGAACATGATCATACTTCCTCAGGTCATACACAGTGACCCTGTTCCCTAAATTTACTTAACATCGGAACATGATCATACTTCCTCAGGTCATACACAGTGACCCTGTTCCCCACATTTACTTAACATCGGAACATGATCATACTTCCTCAGGTTGAACATAGTGACCCTGTTCCCCACATTTATTTTACATCGAACATGATCATACTTCCTCAGGTTGAACATAGTGACCCTGTTCCCCACATTTACTTAACATTGAACATGATCATACTTCCTCAGGTCCAACACACTGACACTGTTCCCCACATTACATAACATCGAACATGATCATACTTCCTCAGGTTGAACATAGTGACCCTGTTCCCCACATTTACTTAACATTGAACATGATCATACTTCCTCAGGTTGAACATAGTGACCCTGTTCCCCACATTTACTTAACATCAAATATGATCTTACTTCCTCAGGTCATACACAGTGACCCTGTTCCCCACCGGGCTGACGACGCTGTTCCCATCAGGTGTGAAGGACAAGTTCCCTTTCCGGTACACAGAACCGAGCAAGTTAGAAAACTGAAATACATACAGTAAATAGAATGTGAAATGTACATACTGAATAGAAACTTTAAGACATACACATGTTGAACAGAAACTTTAAGAAAATGTACTTCCTACATATACCTATACTAGTATATGGACAGATCTGACAACATGATCAAACTACTTTATAGTGTTGATGTTATCTTTGTCATATTTGGAGAGTTGTACGGAAATGATGAAATCCTAGAGGCAGTGCTGCCTGACTTTAAAAGAAGTCAAGCACACAGACTATATTATTGTCTTGGAAATTAAGTTTGTATTTCAAGTTTTGCAATTACATTTCTTTTGGCTTGGGTAAGCTTTACATAAACATCCATTAAGATCTCAATAGTTATTAATTTAAGATGGATATCATGAATACAAATTTAATTACAGCATTTACAAGTTAAAGATTGATATATTGACTTAATGCATGATGTACGTTTGTCCAAGTGTTGTTAACTCGAATACACATGTACTCATCACTATGTCAATCAACCAGTAAGTCCAATCAAGCACAGTGCAATCACAATTAAGAAAGGTTACGTAACATGTGACACGTTGATGTAAATATACAGTTTGTTTATTCAATTCACTAGGAACCGAGATATTCGAGTCAGCGAGTGACGGTGCCCTAGAGTGTGTCAATTAAAAATGCTTCCTTCTTTACATACTCCCATTTATCAATATCCCCGGAACATATTTTTGACTGATCAACCACTTATACCTACCCTGTAGGCAAATTTCATTGTTTTATAAGCAGATTACCACAGGCATATGACAAGCCAGTAAACCCTTACACATCCCCATGTGCTTTTCACAAGTTTCGTGCGCATAACATGTACGGAACGTTATCCCGATTTTCATTGGTGCGGTGTAATATTATAAGCCAATGGAATTGTTTATAAGAAGGGGGCACCTGACGATGTCACATGATCATATGACATATACATCATTCGCCATCTTGAACCATACCGAAAGGGAGTGAAAGTATTTGCTTGGCTTGTTTGTCCTTTTCTGTCTGCAATAACACATTTTATACTCAACGAAATGGCCGACGAATACAGCGCCGACGCTCCCCCATATGCCTCATTCTTTGGAGTAATGGGAGTGACATCCGCGATGGCATTCTGTGGTAAGATTGTGCCTTTCGTCTTCAGAAACTTATCGATCACATTGAATATGTAATGTGCGGACCTGGTTAACGCCGGTTTTCTAACATAAGGTTCACTCATATGGCGATTTAATATACTTATTTGATTCTTAAAGTGTTTCTAGATGTCCATATACTAGAAATATGCAATTTTATACTCATAGAGTCGCGTTCATAGAAAATTTGACGTGGTGGGCTGGAGTTTCGTGCCTTTTGACCACTCCGAAATAAATTATTTCATTATTCAGTGTGAAACGAATATCTTTCTTCCGTATATGTTGGTAGATGTGGGGATATTGGTGGGAATGGATTAATTCAGTGCTCTGTATTTATCTAGTTTTATCACCTGTGGAAACCATAGCATGATCGTGCAGAAACAACTGACATATTTCTTGATCACGTTTTTGTGGCGGTGTCATGTGACTCAATGACGGTATTAAACCCATCACAGAATTTGAAACTTAGGAGTGTTTTGTACTGTTTTGATTGTAATATCGATTATGTTCGTGCTTATTTTATTTGGCTCTCTTATTGGTTGTCAAATCTTTTTCGTTTTTATTAACATGTTATGTAAACTCAATTTTAGAACGTTTCCAACTTATATAACACAAGTACAAGTGGGATGTTTGTAATATTGAGACATGAAAAGGTGAGGGTTGGGGCATATATGATACACTACTGTTTACTGTATATAAATTAACAACAATTATCTTCAAAAGGTTAACATGAATTAAGATGTATCATATTCTAAGTAGATTCTAATTGCTAGTGAAGTGTAATGTGAGAATTTAGATTAAACCTGCTATTTGGATAACTTTTAAATTGATCTGAAGAAATAACCATAGGGATAAGATTAAGGTTCATCCTTGTTCAAAGTAGATGTATCAGTCCTGTGATAAGCCTTTGTGTAGGTTGGTCAGAGTTATTGAGAGAGTAAACAGGTATCTGTTGAAACTTGATTTGTTCACATTTTGACATTTCTACACTTGTGGTTAGATAAGAAAGTGCAATGTCTTTAAGACTATAATATCATCTGTACTAGGCAACCAGGTATATCAGGGCACTTGTGATGGAGTGACCTGTGAACTTAAACTCGGGGACAAGCCCAAGGTTACCTTCAATAAGCAAAGGACAAAATTTTAATCTGATATTTGAGTTTTGTCATAGTAAGGGAAATTAATATTTGTGGAAGTTTTACCAAGACAAAAGAAATAGAAAAAATAGTTTTGTATTCTGACTTAACATAAGTATCGAATACACAATGATATTTCTTAATCGTCTTGTTGCAAAATTTATAAATCATCTGTTTAATCAGACATCTGGCCAGTGGTCACATAACAAGAAAACACATTAAATTTGATGTATAAATTCAGGTTCACATGATTGCTTTTTACTCTCGTACATACACTGCAAAATGTATTAGAATTCTTTGCTGTAGCCATGTTCACATTGATGAATAATTCAATTTGTCCATGCTTATTGTATATCTGAATGTAGGCAGATGTCACATGTGTAGATAGAAGTTTCAGGATATCCTGAACACTGAATAGGAAATTGAACTAACACAGTGTTAAGGATGTAAGTAAAGGTCACCTCAACAGTGAGAGTAAGTGAGTTGGGATTAACGCTGCTTTGAACAGTATTCCAGGTTCATCACAGCGTGTCCGCGTAATGTGAGAGGAAAGCCTGAACTGATGCAGGTCTTAGATGTTTACCTCAACAGTACTGACTGAACTTTATTCTTGTCCTTGTGAAGACTGATATGATAATTATGAAATATAATATTACATGTTGCTGTTTGGGAAATGGAATGAACATCTGTGACTAGCCAATTCAATGAAAAGTGAAGTAACAAGTATTATCATGGCATCAGTAGCTATTAAACACTGTTAACTGTTTCAATATTTGTTAAACATGTTAAAGTTGGAGTTGACTATTGGGAATGACTATGCTTATCATGTGCCTGTATTCTAATTCTGAGACAGAAAATGTGCCAATAATTACCCCATGCTTCTTGTTAGAACTGACCAATGATATTATGACCTGGTCGATACTAGGGGTGAAACAATACAGCAAGGTCATGATACGGTGCATATAACAATACACATATTTATGTCAAATCACATTGAACCTTTTGGATATAGATATTTAAGAGCAGGTTCCAAAGGAAAGCTCTCTTTAAACACCATTTCGTATTGGCAGTTTTTAGTAGTGAACTTGAAAAGATAATTACAACACATATTGCTGTCTTTGAGTCTGACTGTCAAAGTAATTGTCTTGTATAGATACAGAAACTGTACCATGTATCGCATTGTCGAATGAAAACTCACGGTGTACCGATGTATCGGTTTGCCCCTAGCCGCTAGTGTATGTCATGACAGCATGGCTGGTTATCATGCTATTAACCCCTGGTTCATCCATCCAAGACATGATTATTTTCAGGGTGTCATGATATTACTTGAATATTGCTACGGCAAATCCTGTTTTCTGTATTCAAGCATCCAATTGTTAACAAAAATACTTCTGAATATTAAAGGTATGATGAAGAAACCCAAACTTGTGTAGTATATGAAAGAGTGAGTGAGTGAGTATGGTTTTACGCCGCTTTTAGCAATATTCCAGCAATATCATGACGGGGGACACCAGAAATGGGCTTCACACATTGTACCCGTGTCAGGAATCGAACCCGGGTCTTTGGTGTTACGAGCGAACGCTTTAACCACTAGGCTACCCGACCGCCCTAGTATATGCCAGAGTTTTCCAAAATAATCGAAATGTTTAAGTCATAAAAGTTATTCTGCTGAATTTGAAAGGTGAAACGAAAAAAGAAGTGATTGTTGATACATCAAATCATATGTCAATTTCTTTTGAACTATGTTTTTTACATTGTCTTTAGGATTATTGTTTGCTTTGGTTACCCTGATTACTGATGTAGTATTCTTGAATCTTCAGCTCTTGGTGCAGCATACGGAACAGCCAAGTCCGGTACAGGTATCTCAGCAATGGCTGTGATGCGTCCGGAACTCATCATGAAATCTGTCATCCCTGTTGTCATGGCTGGTATCATCGCTATCTACGGTTTGGTGGTAGCTGTAGTGATAACACAGAATATGACTGCAACAGGCTACACCCTTTTTAAGTAAGTACAGTCAAATACTATGGATAAGATACACTGCATTGAGCTCGTACAATCAAACATGAAAATTAAGGGGTCCCTGTTGTAACCCCTAATGATATTAAATTTTATACTGACATGTCAATATGCTAAAACAAGGACCCTCGCCCCCGACCTCTTCGGCGGTCAGACTACCTGGGGGATCGGGTCCCTGTTTTCGCATGTTGACATTGTCAAGAGTAATTCTTTCTTCTGAAAGAGAAGTTAAACACATTACCAATTGTAATATGAAAGAACCAGCTGGTCCTTAATTTTTGTTGGTAGCGTGTATCATTTCCAGTTTCACAATTAAGGGTGGGGGTATCTTGGGTCCTTGATTATTTCCTGCAATTTGTATTTTACCTACATGCCCCTCAGCTCTTAATCTGTTAGAATCAAAATTAAAATGATGCCGAGGACCAAATCCCATTTATCCTTAGTTTTGATGAGTTTCCAAGTAAAGACACCTGTAAATGGCCTGATAGTGATAGCTTAAAGAGACAATAGTCAAAAAGTTTGTGTTATTCACAACAAATTGCTGGTGAATCGGTAATATATACTGTGACCTAAACATGCCATGCAGAACATTAGCAGTTAACTGACTATAAAATTACAGTTTCCACCCTTGCCCAACTTGGCTGGATTAACGAGTCTATGCATAGTCAAGTCAAATGTCAGTGTTCAAATCTACATCCGGTTCATAAATAACATTGCAACTGCCATGGCGATTTTGTTCAATTGCAGTTTTTGCAGAGCATGTGTACTGTCTACTGGGCTTCGACAGATGTTTTTCTAAACTTTTCATGTTCTTAATCAACATTCCCAAATGATTTTATGCACTTTGCGAGGTAAAACTGTTTTTATGACAATAAAGATTTGTTTTATCGATTAGATTATCTTAACTTCTCACTTTTATTTTGTTTGAAAGGACGTAACTCGTTATAGCCACTGGTGGCGCTATGAAATTCCAGTCTAGTTCTGCAAGGGTGGAAACTGGACTTTTAGAGTCAGTTAACTCGCGTGCCTTGGGAGGATTTGATAACTTAAACTAACATTTGTTGTTGGTCATCATGTTTATTTTCTGTTTTGTTTTGCAGGAGCTTCCTCCATCTTGGTGCTGGCTTAAGTGTAGGTCTCAGTGGATTAGCTGCTGGCTTTGCTATCGGCATCGTCGGTGACGCCGGTGTACGAGGAACAGCACAACAGCCACGGTTGTTTGTAGGAATGATTCTCATCCTTATCTTCGCTGAGGTTTTGGGTCTGTATGGTTTGATCGTGGCTCTCATCCTCTCCGTCAAACAATCCTAAATCAAGCGAGGACCAGTGATGGCAGCGAAGTACCATTCCCGGCAGAGAAAAGAGAACAGTTGTAACCACGGAAGCATCCCTTCTTTTTCTTCTGCCGCGTTGCTCACTGACTTGTAAGCTCCAGTTGTGCAACTGAGGCAGACAAAGTTGTTCCAATTTGGGGGGAATGAACAAATCATGCTGTAGATGGTTCCATTTTACTGCACATCTGGAAACAAGAGATCATGTGTACAACCTGTATG